TATTTGATACCAACCACAATTTATAACTAACCAGTCAGTTATACTTCTATTTATTTTTGAAGTTATAAAAATAAATCCATTAGATAGTGCTGTATTTCCAATGTTATAATAGTTTCAAAATAGAGATTGGAAAATTAAACTGTTTTGAGAGACTTTAGTTATTGATTCTTGAGTAAATGATTAAAAAATATTAAGCAGAAAATGAAAGCCTATTGTTATCAACATCTACACGGTATTGTTATACCATAAAATAAGTGTTATGAAATGTGTGCTAAAAATTAATATACTAGATGATAGCAGTTTATTCAGTGTAAGATTTTTTTGAATTTATTTTCACAATAAACGGATTTCTTTAGGGACAACAGACATTTATATATCCCTTTTTGAAACAGTTTACATGTATATTTCCTTTAATTCTCAAATTTCAAAATAATGCCTTTAAAAAGCATTGACATTTTAAACTGTCACACTATTTTTATTTTACATTTAAAATTAGAGATAAAGAAAAAATATTTATTTGTTGAAACTTAAGGCATGACTAAACCAAATCTGTTCACTATTTTCAAATTATATGGGGTCATCTGGGATGGCAATTACATTTGTACCAGATCTAGTAAAGCACATGGTGTTATTGGAGAAACAATAGAAAGTACTTTCAAGGACATTTGAATTCATGCTCTCAGAATTTGGGACGGAGAAGACCTTGCTCTTCATTACAGTCCTGTAATTGAGTTTTCTTGTCCCTGCTTTCAGAGGATGTTAATTCAGTTTTGGTGAACTGAGTGACTTCAGCTATTAAATGAAATGAATTTCTGAGAGATGATAACGTCATTCAAATTTGGGTAACAGATATGGGGGAACAGTCTGTATGAAGAAAATTCTCAAGTTGTATATTACATAGTTTGAATACTTGTTTTTGTACAGAGAATGATGGCTTTACTAATTTTGGTCACACAGGCATACTTCAGAGATATTGCAGGTTTTTGTTGCACTTTATTCCAGATCACTGTAATAAAGTGAATATTGTAATAAATCAAGTCATACAATTTTTTTCATTTTCCAGTGCATATAAAAGTTATGTTTACACTATACTATAGTCTATTAAATGTGAAATAGCATTATGTCTAAAAAACAATGTACATACCTTAATTTAAAAATAAGTTGCTAATCCCAGCACTTTGGGAGGCTGAGGCAGATCACCTGAGGTCAGGAGTTCAAGACCAGCCTGGTCAACATGGTGAAACCCTGTCTCTATTAAAAATACAGAAAAAAAAAATAGCTGGATGTGGTAGCAGGTGCCTCCTTATAGTCCCAGCTACTCGGGAGGCTGAGGCAGGAGAATTGACTGAACCCAGGAGGCAGAGGCTGCAGCGAGCAAGATTGTGCCACTGCACTCCAGTGTGGGCAGCAGAGTGAAACTTCATCTCTAAATAAGTGAATCAATAAATAGCTGCTAATGATCACCTGAACCTTCAGCAAGTTGTCCAGGTAGAGGGTCTTGCCTTTGATTACACCACTTATAAATATTTTGCAACCCAGGGTAGCTTAGGCATAGAAGATGTTGACGGCTGCTGACAGATCAGGGTGGTGGTTACTGACAATTGAGATAGCTATGGCTGTTCCTTAAAATAACAGTAAAGTTTCCTGCATTGATTGATTCTTTCTTTCATGAAAGATTCCTCTGTAGCATGTGATGCTGTTTGATAGCATTTTACCCACAGTAGAACTTTCAAAATTGGAGTCAGTCCTCAAACCCTGCCACTGCTTTAGCAACTAAATTTATGTCATATTTTAAATCCTTTGTTGTCATTTCAACAGTGTTTACAGTATCTTCACCAGTACTAGATCCCATTTCAGGAAACTACTCTTTGCTCATTTAAGAAGCAACTCCTCACCGGGCGTGGTGGCTCAAGCCTGTAATCCCAGCACTTTGGGAGGCTGAGGCGGGTGGATCATGAGGTCAGGAGATCGAGACCATCCTGGTCAACACGATGAAATCCCGTCTCTACTAAAAATACAAAAAATTAGCTGGGCATGGTGGTGTGTGCCTGTAATCCCAGCTACTCAGGAGGCTGAGGCAGGAGAATTGCCTGAACCCAGGAGGCGGAGGTTGCGGTGAGCCGAGATCGCGCCATTGCACTCCAGCCTGCGTAACAAGAGCGAAACTCCGTCTCAAAAAAAAAAAAAAAAAAAAAAAAAGAAGCAACTCCTCATCCTTACAGTGTGATCATGAGATTACAGTAATTCATTCACATCTTTAGGCTCCACTTCTAATTCTAGCTGTCTTGCCACTTCCACCACATCTGCAGTTACTCCCTCCACTAAAGTCTTGAGCCCACCTGAGTCTCCCATGAGGGTTGAAATAAACTTCTTCCAAAGTTCTATTAATGATGATATTTTAACCTCCTCCCATAAATCAGAATGTTTTTAATGGCATCTGAAGTAGTTAATCCATTCCAGAAGATTTACATTTTATTTGCCCAAACTCATCAGAGGAATCACTATGGCAGCTAGAGCCTTAGGAAACTTATCTTTTAAATAAGGCTTGAAAGTCGAAATGACTCTTTGCTTCATGGGCTGCAGAATAGATGCTGTGTTAGCAGGCATGAAAGCAACATTAATCACCTCATCCATCTCCATCAGAGTACTTGTGTGACCAAGCACATTGTCAATGAGCAATAAGATTTTGAAAAGAATCTTTTTGTCTGAGCAGTAGGTCTCAAGAATGGGCTTAAAATATCCAGTCAATCTTGGTAAAACAAATGTGCTGTCATCCAGGCTTCATTGTTACATTTGTAGATCACATACAGAGTAGATTAAGTGTAATTCTTATAGGTCCTAGGATTTTTTAAATGATCAGTGAATATTGCCTTCAATTTAGTCACTGGTTGCGTTAGCTCCTAACAAGAGAGTCAACCTGTCCTTTGATGTTTTGAAGCCAGGCGTTGACTTCCCTCTAACTGAAAAAGTCCTAGATGGCATCTTCTTCCAATACAAGGCTTTTTCATCTGCACTGAAATTTTTTGTTTAGTGCAGCCACCTTCATCAGTTATTGTAGCTAAATCTTGCACTTTCTACATCAGCATTGCTGTTTTACCTTGTACTTTTATTTTATGGAGACGGGTTTTTTCCTTAAACCTCATGAACCAACCTTTGCTTGTTCAGACTTTTCTTCTGCAGTTTTCTCACTTCTCTCAGCCTTCATAAAATTGAAGAGAGGATCTTGTTCTGGATTAGGCTTTGACTTAAAGAAATGTGGCTGATTTGATCCAGAACATTAAAACTATCTGCATATCAGCAATAAGATTGTTTCACTTGTAATTTCCCTCGTTAATTTTGCTTTTGCATTCCTATCTGTTAGGCAGGCATAAGAGGCCTAACTTTCAGCCTCTCTTGGCTTTTGACATGCCTTCTTCACTAAGCTTAAACATTTCTAGCCTTTGACTTAAAGTGAGAGATGAACAACTCTTTCTTTTAAATGAACACTTAGAGGCCCTTGTAAACTTATTAATTTTCCTATTTTAATATTGTTGTGTTTCGGGGAATTTGGAGGCCTAATGGGATGGAGAGAGATGGGAGAGTGGCTGATTGGTGGAGCAGTTAGAATACACACATTTATCCATTAAGTTTGCCATCTTATTGGACATGGTTCAAGGCACCTGAAGCAATTACAATAGTAATATCAGAGATTACTGATCACAGGTCACCATAACAGATATACTAATAATGAAAAAGCTTAAAATATTATGAAAATTACCAAAACATGACACAAAGACATGAAGTGACCACATGCTATTGGAAAAATGGCACCAATAGACTTGCTTGATGCAGGGTTGCTACAAACCTTCAATTTGTAAAAGACATTATCTGCAAAGCATGGTAAAGGGCAATGAAACATGGTTTGCCCGTGTATCTTACTGTCAGTCATACTGAAGTCTCCAGTTAAACTAATAAACTAACAGCTTTTAAAAACTGCATTCTCGTAACAACAGTATACATTAGCAACAGATCTTTTCAATGTTTTCAGCATTCTCTTTTGTGAGTAGTTCATTCATAAATAGATATCTATGTCAGGTTCATAGAGAAAATGTCAGTTTGACAGAAAAGAGGATTAATTTGGCTCAATCTTTCTATAGCAGTATTATAAATATTCAGTAGTCTGAGGTAGAGCTAAAATATAGGTAACACTTATTTCTAGCATGGTCTTTTTCATTCTGTGAAGTCTTTTAGGTACCCTTGTTTATGTTGAAAGATAACATGATTTATTTTAGTGTGACTTAGTAATATCAGATTGGTTGTCTTTAATACTATGCGGTTTTCTGTCGATGGAAGGTTGAACTTTCTAATATATTTACCATATACACAGGAAAATGACATCGTTACAACTGGGATAGTACATTGCTTAATTATGTCCAAAGTGAGGTTTTCAGAAAGGTTTATATTTAACAATTTTAGGACTTTTGTTATTTAATTTGATTACACCACTTTTAAATATTTCGCAACCCAGGGTAGCTTAGGCATAGAAGTAAAACCAAAAATGGAATATCCCTTCGTAGCAGCACTATGACTGAAAATGTTAAAATCGATGACTACAAAGAGTTCTCAAATACTATTATGGATATTTTTGCTGAAATTCATGGGAAAGAAAACAAACAATAGATAATTAACTCAGAAAGTATTCTAAAATTTGGCAGAACATTTTCTTGCTGGTACTTCTCTCCCTTTCCTTTTAAGATGTAGTTGCTTCTCTTTTTGGTATTTTCTTGTTGACAATTCATGATGTTAATGCTTTATATAATTTTAAGTTGTGTGTGTGTCTGTCAGTAATATTTCTCACATGCCAGTTTTGCTGTTTTTGGAGAGTCCAGTAGCTTCTTTTACAACACACCATTTAAATTTTTTGTTAAAAATAATTTTATTTATAAATAGCAATTTTCACTTGGTATGTCTCTTAGTAAATTTAGCAAGTATACTAATACTATGGTTTTTTTTTTTTTCAGTGTACTCGTGTGATGTGGACACCACCTCTCCGTGAAAGCTTCTCATATCCATTCCTTGTTCTTCAGATGTTGCTTGTGACTCATATTCTCAGGTAACTTTGACTTAACCTTATTTATTTTTGCATTAAATAATTTAAACTAGAGTATCTTAAGCTTCCATGATAAAGTCAACATAATAAAATAGCCAATATGATCCTGTTATTAGTAAAGGTAATTTAAGAGTATAACTTACCAAAAACCTTTCCTCTATCAGCCTTCTGTTCCTCTTCCTTTTTCTTGGTGGTCCACAGTGACTGCTTGAGAAACAGCAAATTTGCTTTCACTTCTTCTTTCATTTCCACTTTCTCAAGTCTTCTGTTACCGCTTATAACCTCCTGAAAATTAGCAGAAAGAAGGTGAAGGCTGGTCATGCTACAGTGTATCCTGTAAGATACAATCCTTTGGGGTAAAGGATAATTCATAGAATTCACACTTCTCTTCATTTCTGTTGACAAATACTGAATATAGCTGCCTTGCTCCAGAGGGTAAAAATGAAACAAAATGGGGCCTACAGAAAAATGGAATAAAGCATGATAAAAATCTGAAGATGACTCAGACTGATAACTCCCTTCAGTGATCCTCTGAATTTACAAGAACTTTGTTGAACTCTGTTATGCTGAACCCTTTGGGCAATCTATTTCCCACTGATTATTACAGCAAGCATAGAACCATCACATGGCTTTTAGTCTCCAATGTAGTAGTGTCTTTACACAGACCTTTTATAGATCATGGGATGGGTAATGTTTTTGCATTAGCTTTTTAAAGTCTGTGTAGCTCCAACTTTATTGTTGTCCCCTAAATTCCTCTTTACAGAGTTTAAAGCATCTTTAGCACCTTCAATTAAGGTGAACCTCTATGAATTCATAACCTTAAGCTCTGCCCTGTTGGTTCTGAGGCACCCTGAGCAACGGTCCCGTCTCAAACATTTCCATAAGATGTGTTGTGCTGAGAGTCTTTGATTCACCACTACAGATGCTATTTTCCCACATTCACATTCTTGACCTTGGCTTTTTTCTCCATTGCAGTGCAGACAGCAGACTGCTCTCAGTCTCTAGTTCCTTCCTGCTTTTCTATCTCTGCCCCTGTCTTAAATACAGTGAAAGCAAACCTTTGATTCTTCTTTCACTCGCTGATCTGATCTGTCCCTGAGTAGCCATTGGTATGCTGCTCTGAGGGCTGAGTGCTGCCTCCTTTAGTCCCTCTGTACCATAGAAGGTAGGGTTAGTTTTCTGTTGCTGTGTAAACCAGTCACCACAAACTTGGATCTATTATCTTGGAGTTCTCTAACTCCAAAGTTTTAAAATCAAAGTATTAGAGGTGGTACATTCTTCCTGAAGGTACAGAGTGGGAGAAGAGAAAATCACTTTTCTTGCCTTTTCTAGCTTCTGGAGGCTGCCTGTATTTCTTGGGGGTCTGCCTGCATTTCTTGCCTTGTGGCTCCTTCGTCCTCAAAACCAGCAGTGGTGGATTGAGTCCTTTTTTGTCAGTTTACTCCAACCTTCTTTTCAGCCTCTCTTCCACTTTTAAGTACCCTGTGGTTACATTGGGCCCACCTGGATAATCCAGGCTATGCTCCCTACTGTGAGGCTGGGTGATTAGTCATCTTCATGCCGTCCGCAGCCCTAGTTCCCCTTTGCCATGCAACATGACGTGTTCACAGGTTACAGGGATTAGGACATAGATATTTCTGGAGGTCATTATTTTGCCAGCCAGGATGGGACCTCTCCAGTTGCTGTTTCCTGCCTTCAAGGGCTGTCTTCTGTTGGGTTCTTCTCTGCTTTTGGCTGCAGGTGCTTCTGTGGCAAGCTCTTTGTTTTCTTTAGCCTCTTATCATTGTCATTTTCAGCCTTGCCCATCTCTTCATACCTGTCTTTACTTTCTGCTGAAAAGTTTTAGAGAACATTCCTTTCTTAGATCCTTCTTCACTGTCTCTGTTTATATTCTAGTTGACATTTCCCTTCTCATATTCCTGGCCATCGCAAGCTGAAGCAGCTGCTGCTTTTGCCACTGCTGGTTCAGATCCATCCCGTCTTGATCTTCCTTGCCATCTTCATCGGCACCTCATCACTTCTGACTGCAGTGGCTTTCCTTGTTATGCTCCTTGGTTGGCATGGCTCCTTGCTTGCCTGGTATGGCTGTGACTTGTTGCTTGAAAGGGTGGATTTTCATTTTGCTTTCTTGGAAAACTGCTTTCTTGGAAACCTTCTTGGAAAATCGCATCCTTTTTTCTTGACGTTTTGGAAGACATCTTGTCTTTTTTTCTGAAGGATAATAACCTTCTCTCCGTTGGCCATCTTCATCTTCTGATATTTCATCCTTATTACTGACATTGTCTTCTTTGGAAGAGCAGCCATTTCCTTTAGTTCTTGGTTTCTACCTGTAGTTGGCACATTGTGACATTAGAGGGAGGTGGTGAGTGGTGATGGCTTGGGTGAACCAAGAAGAAGCTGAGCAGTGTTGATGCAGGCTGCAGTGCTGAGGATACTGTCATAAAACCAGAAAGAGACTATTTCTTAATGCTAGGAATCATTTATAAATGACGTTGGTGGTATATTTTAACAAATTGGTTTTGTCCACTTTTGAATTTTAAGCATTTTCAGAAATTCTAATGCTAATGCTAGCCCAGCTTCACTTTGTCTTGATTGTTCTTAGCCTTTTCTTATTTGTTCTTGGCAATATCTATGTTTCCATTTCTGTTGTCTTGGGTCAGAGCTATTTTGATCACCAATGGGATTTTCTTTGTTTTTTATTCATTCCTATCTCCCCACAGTACATTCTTCACCCAACTGCCAGATTGGTATTAAATTCTGCTGAGAAATCTTAATGTCTCTTGTTACCCCAAAAATGAAAATCATATTTAGTATTCAAAAGCAATAGAAATATGCTTTATTTTAGACAGTGACTTTCAAACTTTTGGACTATGATCTGTAAGAAATAAGAAATTTTACACTGTGGCTTACTGCACATGTACATGTATGCACACAACTGAAACAAAAGTTTCACAGAATAGAGCCCCTTATAAGTAGGATACAGTCATATATATTCTGTTTCACTCGCTAATCTGCATTTTTAAATGCTGAGTTTTATTCCGTAAGTCAATTTCATAACTCATTAAAAGGTTATCTGGAGTTTAAAAATACTTTTGTTGGATTAAAATAGCAGACAGGGATGTCCTTTGGAGAAAGGATGCTTGTGGAAGTGGAGAAAAGCATTTTATGGTGGTGCTCTATGCTCCAGGTAGGTTTATGTAACCAGAATGTCTTTATCCAAGCTGCATACACTTCATCTCCTAGTATATTAGCATGCACACTCCACTTTTGTGAAGATGGACATGTGTGAGGGCTTTGCATTGGCTCACATATTTAGAGGATAAAATCATCTCACCCTCCTAAAAAGTCTCCTAAATTACAAGTCAGTACCAAAGTGAGGTCTCTAAAGATTGCTCCAGAATGGCCACTGTATCTTTTTCTCCTCTTTTCTGTCTTCTACATGTGCCAGATGCAACTTTTTATCTCACATGCTTATAAAATCTCTCCCAGCCTCTTAACTCTTATTCCTCATTCTTGAAGTAGTTGGCTGCATAATGCTTTGCGCTTCAAATATGCTATTATTTTTTCATAGGCATCTTCTGCCTTTCTAACTAATGAATATATTGAATCAGTATTTTTAAATGTTCAGTCATGGATTCACCAAAATAAAATTTGAAAAAAATTCCCGTAGATATACTGACCCAGCCACCCTCCCCACTTTGTGTTATTAGCAATAATGGTTATTTACCTTTCAAAGAAAATTGTTGTAATTGAGCATCAGGAGGTACAATTTCTAACCTGTTGGTTCATTTTATGTTTAGGTTATGTTATAACCAGATTATATATATTTAGAGATTCTGGTTTGCAGCAGTTTGGAGCCATGCTAGACTTGTATTTAAACTTACTTATTTTATCTTTTCAAGGGCTACAAAACTATATAGAGGAAGCTTGATTGCACTCTGTATTTCCAATGTATTTTTCATGCTTCCTTGGCAGTTTGCTCAGTTTGTACTTCTTACTCAGGTAGGTGATTATATTTTAAGCTGTTTTAAGCTTAGTATGTTTGACTATATGAACTCATTTGCATGAAATTATAACGGAGATGTTCTGTGATTCTAACTCCTAAAACATTTTCTAGGAAAACTGTTCTCCTAAAATATTTTTTAGAAATGTTGAACAAAAGAAAATTCAGGACAGAGAAATATGTCAGATTATTTATTAATGGTTGTTCATTATTTACTTCCTAACATACTGCGTTTATTGAATTCAAATTTGTAAGAATGATTATCTTTGTTATTCAGTGTGCTTAAAAGAGGACTAGTACTGCAACTTTAAGCGTTTCTCTTAACTGTAGTATTTCTCTTACGTAAAATGTTTCTTTTATGAGTAGTTGTGTACATTCTTGCACGTAGAATAAGGACAAATAGGATTACAAGATACATAGCTAATCAGTTTATGTCTTACAGAATTCTCTGTACCAGTCTAGAAATTTATCTGTTGTCTTTCCATGTACTCTTGCCCACCGTAAATGGAAGTAGCTTGTTGAGAGAGGGAGTAAATTGCATATTCATTTTTTTCCCTGCCTACTGCTTTTTTTTTTTTTAATTGTACTAGTCGTATTTGTATAAAGCAGTTGAAGAGTTCCTTTTTAATGAAAGTCTTGCTTGGGAAATGAAGTTAGACTTGGATTTGAGTCTAATTATATTCACTAGCCTCTTAACTTGGTTAAAATACTTAGCTTTTCTTAGTTTAGGTTTTCTCATTTCTGAAATAGAGATAATAAAAGAACCTACTTTATTGGGTTGTGGATAGGACCAGAGGAAGTAATGTATATGATTCTGAACACAGTACCTGGTACTTAGTGAGGTATCAGTAAGGTTAGTTGGTCTTATCATTATTTTAAAAAATAGGCTCTATTTGTACTTTTTACTTTGATCTTATCTTGTTGACACCTTCGTCTGACTTAGTTTGATGACATTTTCAGCTGGTTTCTGGTTTAAAATTGCCTCTGAGATTCTCTGTTTAAAAGGCAGCCCTGTAAATGTGCTGCGTGTTGCTCAGCCCTTGGGGTGGAAAGGGAGGATTCTCATCGCTTCCTGACAGTGAAGGCTGCCTGGTGTTTTGTGGAGACCAGGGTCACTGGAGGTATTTTGCCTCCCTGTGGGGCTTGTGTTGAATAATAACACACACTTCCCCACAGTTGTTGTGTCGTCTCAGTCACCCTAAGCAATGCAGTATTCTCCATGGGTAACTGAGTAAAGGGAAACTTCGTTTTTCTCACTAATGGAAAAACTTGTTGTAAATTGCTTAGAGATTAAAAAAACCTGATGAATGAAACTTAAGTTATATGATTAAGTATTCAACTATTTTGCAGTTTGTTTATGCTGGTATTTTTTGTTTTTTTGAGACGGCGTTTCACTCTTGTTACCCAGGCCGGAGTGCAATGGCGCGATCTCGGCTCACCACACCCTCTGCCTCCTGGGTTCAGGCAATTCTCCTGCCTCAGCCTCCTGAGTAGCTGGGATTACAGGCACACGCCACCATGCCCAGCTAATTTTTTGTATTTTTAGTAGAGACGGAGTTTCACCATGTTGACCAGGATGGTCTCGACCTCTTGACCTCATGATCCACCTGCCTCGGCGTCCCAAAGTGCTGGGATTACAGGCATGAGCCACCGCGCCCAGCCATGCTGTTTTTTTATAGTAGGAGAGGAAGAATTTAATTTTAATTGCTTTCTCTATGATGAAGTGTGTAGAGGCATTGTCTGACATAATACCTGTCTATAAGATACACTGTATCATCATTTAATCAATTAATTCAGCTAAATAATTCCAGTACTCTCAGAATTACTGATACATAACATACAGTTTTCTTCCAAATGGAAAAAAAAGTTAAAAATACCTTTGTAGCAAAAGTACTCTTAATTTGAAATTGATAAATTTGGTTACAACTAACTCTTGAATATTTGTATTAATGAAAGAACGCTAATGGAGATAGTTGTAAAGAGTGACTAGCAAGCAGAAATTAACATATTTTTATGCACACCTGCATTGCATAATTATTTTCCAGTTTAATATACCTTCCCCAATTATGTATTAGTTGTCTTGTTATAATTACATTTTCATCTTTTCTGATTGGACAAGGTACTTTTTAATTGTACATGTTGACAGTAAGGTTGACTTGAAATTAAAATGAGTATTGTTTTGGATAATCAATGAAGTAGACAATTCACATGATTGAGAGAGCTGTCTATCGGAGAAAAAAAAATCAACCAATATTTTCTATATTAACATAATGACTATATTCATATTCTTCATTCTTGCAGGTATTTTATCTTTTTTACTTTTAATTTCTTTTTAAATTTCAGATTGCATCATTGTTTGCAGTGTACGTTGTCGGGTACATTGATATATGTAAATTACGGAAGATCATTTATATACACATGGTAATTATTTTTTATTCTTTAGTTCGTCTTTAAACTCCAGATTAATATTTGATTTGTTCATGGTTGGAATTAGTTGTAACAATTTCATAACTAAAACAGATGTCATTCAAACATTGTGATACAATCAACCGACCTTGTTTTAATAGACCACTCACAAAAATTTAATTGGGGTCATATCATCTGATTGAAGTTGTGCCCAACTTATGCATTATCAGTAAAAGAAATAATTTATGAAACAGAAACATGGGACTGATATATTATCCAGGAGCTGTTTGTTAAAAATGAAGTAGAAAGGCCCGACATGGTGGCTCACACCTGTAATCCTAACATTTTTGAGAGGCCGAGGTGGGCTTCACTTGAAGCCAGGAGTTTGAAACCGCCTGGGCAACAGAGCCAGACCTCATCTCTACAAAAATCAAATAAAATTAGCCTAGAATGGTGATGCATGGCTGTAGCACTAGCTGCTTAACTCAGGAAGCTGATGTGGGAGGATCACATTAGCCCAGGAGGTTGAGACTGCAGTGAGCTATCATGCAAGTGCTCTCCAACTTGGGCAACATAACAAGGCCAAGTCTTCACAAAAAAGAAAAAGAGTTCATTTACTGAGCATCAACTATGTAGGCATGTGAGACACACCAGCATTCATATCACTTACATTCTAATAGAGTGGGGAAGGAGGGAAGACAGAAGATAAATATAGTAAATGGGTAAATTACCTAGGATGTTAGAAGGTGATAAGGATTTTAGGCCAGACATGGTGGCCTGGGGAGGCTGAGGCAAGAGGACATTTGAGCTCAATAGTTTAAGACCAGCCTCGGTAGCACAGTGAGACCCCATTTCTATTAAAAAAAATACAAAAAAAAAAATGATTTTAGAAGAAAGGTAAGGTCAGGGTAAGGCAGATGGGGAGCACCAAGATCCAGGGTAGGACATGGAAAAATCAAGTGAGGTGGTCACAGCAGTTCTTCTTGAGAAGAGGGAGTAGAACAAGGATTGGAAGGAGGAGAAGGAGTTAGCCAAGTAGATATCAAAGAAATTAATATCTAGGTTGATGGAATAGCTAGAACAAAGACCCTAAAGCTGGGTGGTTGATGTCCATGAATGTTTATCATTTAAAAATAAGCATTTGTCTTCTCTCTCATTGGTTTTTATAATTTTGATGTTTTCTTTTTCTGATAATTTTACAGTTGTCATAATATACCATTATTTTCATTCTCTTAATAATTTATATATATAAAAGGACATTATAATGTGTAAGGAAGTTATAAACACAGTTATAAACAACTGGGAACCTACTTTCCAAATGGAAAATAGAACCTTATCATTACTTTTAAGTCCTGTATGCCCTGAGCTCATCCCCTCACTGCTCCTAGAGGTAACCACTATTCTGAATTTTTGAATTGTAATCAATTTGCATTTCTTTATAACTTTGCCATATATAGATTACTAAATAGTATATATTTTTATTATGAAATGTTCACATTCTTTGTAAGATTTATAAAAATGGTATTCTTTTATAAGTACTATTTTTTTACTCAGATTTCTGCTCTGTATGTAACTAGAATTCATATATTTTCACTGCTTTATATTTCCCTCATATAAATAAAGCATAATTCATTTATTCATTTTTTTGTGGAAGGATATTTAGGTTCTCTCCTGTCCCCCCAACTTCTTTTTTTAGTTATAAATCATGCTGTACATTCTTTACTTATCTCTTGGGGCACATATGTTAAAAGTTTCTCTAGGGTGTTTACCTAGTAGTAGACTTGCTGGGTGGTAAATTATGTACATGTTCAACCTTAAAAATACCAAATTGTTTTTCCAAAATGACTGGACTACTTCCAACAGCAATATATAACAGCTTATGTTATTCTACATCCTTTTTTATTTTATCAATCTGGTTGGTGTAAAATGGTATCTTGTGACCTTAATTTGCATTTTCTCTGATTCATAATGAAGCTGAGAATCTTTTGGTGTGTTTATACGCCCTTCATGTTTCCATTTTTGTAAATTTCTATTCAGATCTTTTACCAGTTTGTCTTGTGTCCAAAAGAAAATGACATCTATTTTAGTCAATGCAGTGCAATCCATTATCTTTGTTATTTATGTTGATGCTCAAATTGTTCCACATTTGTTCAACTATTCAAGCTGACTTCTCTTTCCTTTTAACATGTCCTCATTATACACTGAGCACTTTTAAAAAGAAATTAATAAATGTTAAGTTTCATGAAATGATTTTCTACATCATTTTAGATGATTTAGATGATTCTGTGTATTTCCCTGTCTTTAATCTGTTACTGTGATGAATTAACATTGATTTTCTAACATTAAAAAAAAACTTTATTTTTGAATTAAACACAATTTTTGCATGTTGCTGGAATGTCTGCTGTTATTTTGACAGGATTTTTACATCCTTGTTCATGAATGAGTTAGACAGTAATTATATATTTTTTAAACTTGACTTATTTTCCCCAGACTATTTAAAATAGTTTTTTATTTTGTAGTATAAATTAGATTAGATGTTAAGCCTTCAGAGTTGGCCAATCACATAGTAACATAGGCAACTATGGCTGGGGGCCTTGATTCAAAGTTATAGTTATAAAATTATAAAATTACACAGCATAGTTTGAAGTAAAACCTACCCATACTTTGTTATGTGACTTACTATTTTCTTCTTCCATTATCACTTTACAAATTCCTAAATTCTTATAATTATAAAAGGAAAAAAAACACAGAATTGTTTCCAAAAAATTATTTTTCCCTTTTTTATTGTGGTAAAACACATGTAACTTAAAATTTACCACCTTAAGCATTTTAAAATACACAGTTCAGTGATACTAAGTACATTCACATGGTTTTACACCCATCACCACCATCTATTTCCAGAACATTTTTCATCTTGTAAAACTGAAACTCTATACCCATAGAAGTTCTTATTCTTCCATCGTCCCAGCCCCTGGAAACCACCATTCTACTTTCTGTCTTTATGATTTTGACTACCTTATATATTCATGTAAATGAAATCATACATTATTTGTCTTTTTGTGACTGGGTTATTTCAATTATCCTAATGTCCTCAAGTTTCTTCTATGTTGAAGCATGTCAAAATTTCCTTCCTTTTTAAGGCTAAATAATATTCCATTATGTGCGTGTCACACACACCTGGTTTTGCTTGTGAATTCAGTCCATCCCTGATTACTTGTTTTAGCTACAGTAAATAATGCTGCTATGAACATAGGAAAACAAATATTTTTTAATATCTTGTTTTCAGTTATTTTGAATATGTGCCCAGAAGTGGAATTGCTGAATTGATCATATGGTAAATCTATTTTTAACTTTTTAAGGAACTGCCAAACTTTTCCATAGCAGCTGTACATTTTACGTTCCTATGAATAGTGCACAAACTTTCATTTTCTCCATGTAATCACCCACATTTATTTTCTGCTTTTGTGATGGTAGCCATTCTAATGGATCTGAGTTGAATCTCACTGTGGCTTTTGTTTCTTAATTAAAAATCTTTATATTTTAGAGACGTTTTGGTTTCTTTTTTTTTTTTTTTTAGATGGCTCTCAATCTGTTGCCCAGTCTGAAGTGCAGTGGCACAATCTCAGCTCACTGTAACCACTGCCTCCTGGGTTCAAGCGATTCTCCTGCCTCAGCCTTCCAAGTAGCTGGGATTACAGGCATGCGCCCCAACTCCCAGCTAATTTTTGTGCTTTTAATAGAGACAGGGTTTAACCCTGTTGGCAGGCTGGTCTCAAACTCCTGACCTCAGGTGATCTCCCCGCCTTGGCCTCCCAAAGTGGTGGTATTACAGGCATGATCCACCGTGCCCAGCCAGGTTTGTAGCAAAATAGAGCAGAAAGTACAGAGTTCCCATATACCCCTTGCTCCCACCCATGTACAACCTCCACTTCTGTTGACATCCCTCAGCAGAGTGGTACATTTGTTACAACTGATAACTACATCACACATTATAATCACCCAAAGTCTGTAGTTTACACTAGGTCTCACTTTTCGAATGTGGGTGGTTGTTGTGGGTTTGTTTGTTTGTTTGTTTGTTTTTTGAGACAGGGTCTTCCTCTGTTGCCCAGGCTGGAGTTTAGTGGTGCAAACATGGCTCACCACAGCCTTGACCTCCTGGGTTCAAGGGATCCTTCTGCCTTGGCCTCCCAAAATGCTAGGATTGCAAATGTGAGCCACCACAATCGGCTTGGGTTTTGACAAATGTATAGTGACGTGTCAACCATGTAGTATCTTGTAGGACAGTTTCACAACCATAAAATTTCTCTGTGGTCCACTTATTCATCCCTCCTTCCCCCTAATCTATGGTAACCACTGTAACCACTGATCTTTTTACTGTCCCCGTAGTTTTACCTTTTGTATAATGTCATGTGTTGGAACCAGACAGTATGTAGCCTTTTCATATTGACTTCTTTCACTTAGTGAAAAGCAATTAAGTTTCCTCCAAGTCTTTTCATGACTTGATAGCTCATTTCAGTTTTGATGATGATTAACATTTTAACATTATATGGATGTACCACTGTTTGTTTATTCGCCTGTTGAAGGACATGTTAGTTAACTCCAAGTTTGGACAATTATTAATAAACCTGCTGTAAACATCCCTGTGCAAATTTTGCATGGATATTTTCAGTTCATTTGAGTAAATATCAAGGTAAGTGATATTTGGATGGTATGGTAAGAGTATGCTTAGTTTTTAGGAAATTGCCAACCTGTCTTCTGAAGTGGCCATACCATTTTGCATTACCACCAGGAATAAATGAGAGTTCCTGCTGCTCTGCATCCTTGTCAGCATTTGGTGTAGTCATGGTGGATTTTGGCCATTCTAATAGATGTATAATGGTATTTCATTGTTTTAATTTGGTTGAACATATTTTAGTGTGCCTTTTTGCCATCTGTGTATCTTCTTTGGTGAAGTGTCTATTACGATTTTTTGCTCATTTTTCCTTGGCTTGTTCATTTTCTTATTGTAGAGTTTTAAGAATTTTTTGTATATTTTAGATAACAGTCCCTTATTAGATGTGTCTTTTAAAAATATCTTCTCTCAATCTGTGGCCTGTCTTCACAGAGCAGAAGTTTTTAATTTTAATGAAGTTCAGCTTATCAATCATTTCTTTCATAAATTGTACCTTTGTTGTTTTATCTAAGTAGTCATCACCATACCTAAGTTCATCTAGGTTTCCTTTAGTGTTATCTTCTAGGAGCTTTATAGTTTTGAAATGTGGATTTAGATTTGTGGTCTGTTTTGAGTTAATTTTTGTGAAGGGTGTAAAGTCTATGTCTGGATTTATTTATTTATTTTTGTATGTGAATCTCTATTGGTTCCAGCCTCATTTGTTGAAAGAACTATTTTTGCTCCACTGTATTGCCTTTGCTCCTCTGTCAAATATCAGTTGGCTGTATTTATGTGAGTCTATTTCTGAGCTCTATATTTTGTTCCCTTGATCTATTCATGTCTTCTTTCACTAATACTACACTGTCTTGATTACAGTAGCTTTTGAGTTTTTATATCTCCATATAAACTTCAGAATCAGTTTATTGATAACTTGCTAGGTTCATGTTTGGGATTTTGCTGAATCTGTAGATCAAGTTGGGAAAAACTGACATCTTGACAATATTGAATCACCCTGTACGTGGAATAACTCTCCATGTATTTAGTTCTTTGATTATTTTCATTGAAGTTTTGTAGTTTTGCTAAGATACATTTTTTACATAGTTTGTTAAATTTGTAGAAATGTCAACTAATACAGTTGACTAAAAAATAATACAAAGGAAGATGTAAAAGTATCATTGTTTGTAATTGGTATCATTTTGAATACTTGAGAAATCCAAATGAATTGCTACTAAAAACAGTGAAATTATCTTCATTGATGCAGATTTAATATAATTTTTCTGTATGCACACAATCAGAAAATATGAAGATTCTTGATATAACAGCAGCAGAAGTAATAGAATAAACTCAAGAAAATATGCAGAATTTACATTAAAAGACTATACTTGCTGATGCATGTAAAAGATTTAAAGAAATGGAAGTGACATGTATTGTTTTGGGATCTAAAGATTCAATGTTGAACAGATACAACTATAAATAGCCTACATTATTGAATAAAGTATTTTAATTTTAGTTTTTGAAACTTAATAAGCTGATTCTGAAATTCACATGAAAATTGATACATATGGATCAAAAATAAAACTTCTAGAAGAAAATATAGATTATTTTACTTTTCGTACCTTTTTAAATTACAGAGATAAATCAAAAGACCTAAAGGAAATTAAAGATAAATTTGCTAACAAAAGATTTAGAAAGTAAACATAATACAAAAAAATACCACAAAGGTAAAAAATGAACTGAGAAAAATATTTACAATATGTTTACCTGGTGAGGGGCTATGTTCTTTTTTAATTATACTTCAAGTTCTAGGATACATGTGCAGAGTGTGCAGGTTTGTTACATAGGTATACACGTACCATGGTGGTTTGCTGTATCTATCAACCTGTCACCGATATTAAGTATTTCTCCTAATGCTATCCCTCCCCTAGCCACTGATGCCCTGATAGGCCCTGCTGTGTGATGTTTCCCTCCCTGTGTCCAATGTGTTCTCATTGTTCAACTCCCACTCATGAGTGAGAACATGTAGTATTTGGTTTTCTGTTCCTGTGTTAGTTTACTGAGAATAAGTTTTCTGCTTCATCCATGTCCCTGCAAAAGACATGAACTCATCTGTTTTTATGGCTACATAGTATTCTATGGTGTATATGTGCCATATTTTCTTTATCCAGTCTGTCATTGATGGGTATTTGGATTGGTTCCAAGTCTTTGCCATTGTGAATCGTGCTGCAATAAACATACATGTGCATGTGTTTTATAGTAGAATAATTTATAATACTTGGGTATATGCCCAGTAATGGAATTGCTGGGTCAAATGGTTTTTCTGATTCTAGAGTGCCCATTTGTGGTTTAACAAAATATATAAACTAGAATTTATTTATACATGTTGTCTAGAAGGATGCACAAGAAACTGTTGATGATTGTTATCCTTGGGAGTTTGAAGTATGGGATGGAGAATGGGCTGTTTTCATCGTATAGTCTCTTTTGAACAGTTTGAATTTTGTTTATTATGGATGTACAATTTTCACAATAAAAAACAAAGGTTTTTTGTTTTGCGTGTTACTTATATTTTTTTCTTGGATTTTTCCAGATTTCTCTTGCACTTTGTTTTGTTTTGATGTTTGGGAACTCAATGCTATTAACTTCTTATTATGCTTCTTCTTTGGTAATTATTTGGGTAAGTATTCCTTAACACTTACATGGTTGTTTTTGAAACAAATGGCTTAACAATTTCTTCTTCACTGGCTTAGGATTTATGAAGATTTTCTATAAAAACTATCTCAAATATCTTACTGAATATTCTAGATATGAATGGTGTTCAAGTACTTGCTTCCAAAAAAGAAAAAAAAAAGGAAAATTAGTATCATTTCAGAAATGTTTCTATGCTTTCTTCTCCCTTCCTCCTTTCCATTTTTATCCTACTCCTGCTCCACTTTCTGAACTCTTTCTTCTCACTGCAATGTTGTAACCACCAGTCCTCTTCATTCCACTGTGATCAGAAGATCAAGGCCTTGGTTACCTCGAGGTTTTTTTTGTGGGTTTTTTTTTTTGGTTTGTTTGTTTGTTTCATTTGGTTTTAGCCTCTTGTCTACTTGTATGGAATATTCAGATGGTTTAAGTAAGGTAATGATTTGATTTTATATTGCTATATCACTACCAAAAATAGCTTTAGATGATGGAGAGATTATTTTACAAAATTAGAAGAAGTGATGGAAGTTCATATAATTTCTTCTGCTGTATTTCACAGGATGACTTTATAAATATAAAAGTCTTCTAAAATTTAACGACTGCCTTTTTTCGAGTGGGTTTCCCATTAAAACATTTTGCAAACTTACTATTTCTTATATTTAAAGTGCGTGTGCTTTAGTTTCCTGATGACTTTAAAAGCATATTGTACTGTCATAATTGGAATGTATTCTGCTTCTTGAATAATTAGTCAGATCTTTTGGGGTTTCTTAATTACTAGAACTCATTAAATTTGAAACCTCCTTTTTCATTTATTTTACAAATAATATTTATTTAAAAACTCATTTCTCAAGAATATGCCTGTTCCCAGTCTGGCCCACTACCCTTTTCAGATTGTTCCTTGAGTATATTTAGCTACAGAAATTAGCAGTTGGCGTGATGCTGTTTTCAGCAACAACAAGAAAAATCATAACTTTGGGATTAATAAGTATAGTCCTTAAGTTCTGTGTACTCTGTTTATTATTAGGAAAGGTGAAAAAGAACTCATTTGTATATTTGACATATGTACTTTGTCAAGTACTGCTATCATCCAGGACAAAGTACATGAATCTTGGTACTATGGACAGGGAAACCATTGAATAGAATATTACATATAAATAAAATCTAATTTAAGTACATTTTGTAGGAAATTTGTCTTCAATTCTATATGTAAGGTATGCTGCTAGATGCTTCACACTGAGCTGCATCTTAGGTATGAAGTAAGCATATTTATATTGCGTATATTTTAGTGTATAAAAATAAATAACAGAATATAGCATGTTTGTGCATATTTAACTATAAACACGTATTTGCATATATTTATAATTAATCACTTTGGGACCTGAATTATATCACATATTGTATTTTCAGATATTCAGAAACCTCCAAAAAGATTTAATTTGGTTTCAAGTATTCATGGTTTGATCTCTAATCATATATTTGCCATGTTTGAAGTAGTTTTAGCTCCCTAAGGGTAATACAGTTTGGGAGTGTTACTACCTGAAAATACTTAAGATTTAACAAGAGAAGTATTTAGTTGATTCATTACAATTTCATTTGTTATCTATCCTAAGAGTCAGTAATTCTTAGCAAAGGAAAGTCTTATGCCTGTATGACCACCGTCCAAAATTCTGAAATTGTTACATACTTCGTGGCTCATAGATAAATCAGATGTCAGATCAGTCCTAGACATTTACATATGGTGATTCCTTTTCAACTTTAAAAAGTCATGCACTCATCTAATTTACTCTGGATAATAGGGCGATGTTTTGAAGTCACTGACTGTAGAAATGAGCATGTGTATGGTATGGGGAAAATTGACCTTGTGCTAAATTGTAGATACTTGAGAATCTTATTATTTAGAAGAATTTTTTGGTACTTGGATTTAAGTCTGTAAGTATTAACTATATACTATGTTATTTTCTCTAATCAGGGTATTCTGGCAATGAAACCACATTTCCTGAAAATAAATGTATCTGAACTTAGTTTATGGGTAAGAATCAATCTATTTTAATGCTTATGTTTTTTCTTCTCTAAAATATGTCATTGGTTTATGTTTTACTTTTGAGAAAGTAATCTATGTAATGCAGGGGATCCAACAGTTTTATAGTATATTAGGGCTCAAGTTTAATGTACCAAATTGCCGTTTTTATGAAACAGGTCAAAGTTAATCTTTGATATGTAGTTAAAGAATTCCAGTTGTATTTATTACTCTTGTTTCATCTGAGAAACAGTGCATGTATAAGAAAGTGTAAAGGAAAATGTACCTGCAGTGGTTGTGTAAATCTTCTATAAAATATATTAATTTTTGTAAGATTATATGATTATTATTATTATTTTTTTTTAATTTTTTTTTTTTAGACGGAGTTTCGCTCTTGTTACCCAGGCTGGAGTGCAATGGCGCGATCTCGGCTCACCGCAACCTCCACCTCCTGGGTTCAGGCAATTCTCCTGCCTCAGCCTCCTGAGTAGCTGGGATTATAGGCACGCGCCACCATGCCCAGCTAATTTTTTGTATTTTTAGTAGAGACGGGGTTTCACCATGTTGACCAGGTTGGTCTCGATCTCTCGACCTTGTGATCCACCCGCCTCGGCCTCCCAAAGTGCTGGGATTACAGGCTTGAGCCACCGCGCCTGGCCTGGGATTATATTTTTATGTTTAGTTATTGCCCCTTGATTTTGAGCAACATTCTTGATTTTAAATTGAGATACATGTTTTAGCATTTTCTTTTGTAGGTAGCTATGTGTATTTCATGTATGATTGAAGCATTTATTTTTTTCTTCCTAGCCTATATCTATGGAATATGAAGCATGAAAGTTTTTTTGTTTGTTTGTTTTCTTTTTTTAGGTTATTCAAGGATGTTTTTGGTTATTTGGAACTGTCATACTCAAGTACTTGACATCTAAAATTTTTGGTATTACAGATGATGTAAGTACATTTTTGCTTAAACTTGAAAGAGTTGAAAAGAATCAAATAGGCTAAGAATAAACTGTTTGAGTTATTCAAGTATCACTAAATGAAATTCTACGATGAAATCTGTTAACCTATTATTTTATCCATTTAATATACTAGAAAGTAAATGTAATTATATATAGATTTTTGTTTTCCAAAATTAGTTTCTTGAGACAATCTCTTATTTTATTGGTCCTTCTATATTACTAAAATTTTAAGGCAGGAAATTTCTAGAGATTAAAGATCAAATTTTAAGGTCTATACAGTCATTTTTCTCTAGCTTATTTGTAACTGGTAAAGACATCATCTTCAGAGCCTTAACTGGTGATTGTATTATAGTCTCATTCTTTTTTCTCCCCCATTTTCAAGTCATTACTTGTAAAAGGCTTTTATAAGTCTTTATAGATAATTTAATCAAAATTAGTCTTATTTAGAGAAGATTTTTATTTGTTTTTGGTATTAGGGCAGGAGGGATGATAAAATGAAAAGTCTGTCTTATAATTTTAAGGATTCTCCTTGTCCACAATTGCTTTGCTTATTTTATTTTGGTGTTTTAATCAGCACATCCTAAGTCAGGAGGCTAGCAAAGATTTAATTTGAAAAAGAATGCAGCACAAGAACCAACATGGAAGAAATAAACTACTTTTTCCCCCTATCATTTATTTTGATTGATGCTATTTCTTCTTTCTCAACGAGATTAATGCTACAGTTTTGAAACTGGGTTATGTGGAGTTCTAGGACTTTCAGGTCCCTTCCCTGAGGGCTGTCTACTCCCCCAGCCCCTAGCCCCTCTTTTACCCAGGACAATTTAACCTTAATCTCTTTCATTTAGGTTTTCTTAAGAACAAGGGTTATTTGGCTTAAAACATTGAAAACACGTGAGCTATTAAATGGGTGGTCTACAATCTGTGGAAACATTTTTAGTATAGTTGAAAATGTATTCATTCAGTACGTCCTGGGTGCCTCACAGTAGAAGGAATCCTAGAGATACAAAACTGAGTCAGATACAGTCTAGCGGAAAATTTGGAAAAGAGGAACAATTTGTGGCAGTTATAATACAATACAACTTAATGAAGGCTATGATAAAAAAATTAAGTACAGAGTGCTGCAGGGATACACAAGAGGAGCATCAGGGAAGGATCCTAGAAGTCAGCTATGAGAATGAGAGCTGAAAGGTGCGTGAGTCAGCCAATATGCAGAGCATGAGCAGGAAGGCAAGTGAAATAGCCCTAGTCCTGCATTTATGAAATCTTGTTTTCCTCACTGGGGGAAAATGAACCAGTTAAGGTATTAATTCAGGTTAAAGTGATTGTTGTCTTTTCTGTCATAGCCTAAAATCATGCCCAGTCCAAAAAAAGGTGCTGTAGACTTTACTATTTGCAAATTAGAAATAATTTAGTTGTAACTTTAGTATTTCTAGAAATACTTAACATCAGTCAAGGACATCGGCTCATAAATTCTTAATTTTGACATTGGCTAAAGGAAGAGAGTGGCAAGACTACCCAGCCTTTCATTTCCTGCCGAGTTCTCCACTTTTACTGATAGTTCCTCTGAGCAAAGGTTTTCAACACTCTACCCCAAATCAGGTCAGTGTGCTCCAGTAGCAAAGGTGGTTTTTTTGACCAGCCACACTCCTCCCTGCCCCCTTCAAAAGAACTGTTGCACTAACAGTATGGGGGAGCTGGTGGTGGTGCTGAGGTGGATGGGAGCAACCTAGGTTAAAATGCCACAGACTCGCACTCTTTTTACCTAGACTTTCTGGATTTTTTTTATGAATATATGCATCACACATTGTTGCTTCCTTTTGGTCAGTTTCTAGAACCTGATAGGAGTTTTTTGTTTTTGTTTTTTTTTTAATAGTTTTGTCCAATTTTAAAGTTGTTTTGGGGAATGGTCGTTACCAGCTTCTTTACTCTGACATATTTGGAAGTCCCCACATTTTTTAATACATGAGTATTGATCTAGCTTGTATCCTGGGATAAACTTCGCCTGCTCAACTATAGTATTTTTCTATATTGGTGGATTTAGTTAATATTTATAAGGATTTTTGTCTATATTCATGAGGAATATTTGTTGTACTTTTCTTTTCTTGTAATGGTTTTGTCTGGTTTTGGTTTCAGAGTAATATTGTCTCCTAAAATTATTTGCAAGTTTTCTGTCTCCTGTTTTCACAGAGATTTTTGTGTAGAATTGTCATTACCTCTTCCTTAAATGTTTGGTAGAATTTGGCAATGAAGCCCTCATGGCTTGGAGCATTCTTTGTGGGTTGGTTTTTTTGCTGCAAATTCAATTTCATTAGTAAGTTCTCCAGTTCATCTGGAGTGAGTTTTCTTTGCAGGCAGGTTTTTTACTACAAATTCAGTTTCATTAGGAAGTTCTCCATTTCATCTGGAGTGAGGAATTTTGCCCATTTTATGTATGTCATCAAATGGATAATGCTTTTTTAATTTAGTTAAATTCTTACTGGAATTTTTGTGTATGTGCATATAAGGAAAATGACCTTTTGTTCTTTTATTGACTTCTCCTTATTTGGATTTGGAATTAATATTGGTCTCCTATTAAGAGTTTTTTTTTTTTTTTGGCGTTCTTTTTTTCTGTTTTTTCTACTTTCTGGCAACTTGTGAAATTTTTTTTTTTTTTTTTTTGAAAGTTTAAAAGTTTAATAATTCATCTATGTTAACCATCTGAGTCTAGGGCTTTTTGGGAGGGAAAATACTTGATTTCTATTTCAGCTATTTGAATACTTTTTCTTCTATTCAAGTTTTCTATTTCTTTTTGTGCCAATTTTGGTGTTCCGTGATTTTCCATAAATGCATCCATTTTACCTAGGTTTTACAATTTATTAGCAAATTGTATAGCACACTCTTATTTTAATTATGCTGAGTCCATAGCTATTTCTCCCTTTTTCATTTTGCTTTTTGTTTGCATCTTTTATTTTCTTCATTTTACTTGCTCTGGAGGTGTGTTTATTGTTTTATCATTTTTAAAGTTACATCTTTTTCTAGTCCTCTTTGGTTTTGTTGTGTTCCTCTTTGTCACCAGTTTCTGTCCTTATTGCTTCTTTTTGTTTCCTCTCATGTCACGCCCAAGGGAAAATGCTTAGCCCTGTTGTTTTTACCTCTCTTATTTTCTGATCAATGCTTTTAAAGCTAAAATTGTCTTATAAGTATTTAGTATTGTATATGTGTCAATTATAGATTGGCTGTTTGCGACTTTTTTAAAGGTTAAGTTTTATATTTAGTTTCGAATCAAAATAATTTTTAAAGCAATTTCTAGTTATTTTCTAGTTTTATTGCATTTATAATCAGAAATATATGTATGGAATTTATTGTTACCTGGTTTATGAATATTAAAATATTTTACTTGTGTTCAAGGATAATGTGTATTCTCTTTGTGAACTTTATATTTTCTGTGAGCTAATTGATTGTATTCAGCTTTTATGTTAACTTTTGTCAATTTTTTTATTCTAGGAGGCAGTGTTTAACATTTTCAGTGAACACCGTCAACTTTCTATTTCTTCCTATAGTTTTTTCAGTTCTTTTCTATGTGCTTTGAATCTGTGTTTTTAACTGCAGATATGTTGGCAATATGTAATAATCTTTTTAATTTTATTAGCATATAATATTATCTCTTTTCATATATTTTTTGCTTGAATTCAGTTTTGTGAGACATTGTAATTGCTGACAGGTTTCTTTGTTTCAAATTTACCTGGTGTATCTTCTTCCATTCTTCTATTTTCAACCATTCAGCATACTTTTAAATATATCTTTTAGTGACAACATAATATTGGATTTTTTTCCCTTAAGTCCAATTTGAGCATCTGTCCCTTAATTAGTGAATTTACACTCTTTACATATATGATAATTGTCATAATACTAGGACTTAATTTCTTTAATTTTGTTTGAGATTTGTTTTCTTACACTGTTTTAGGTGCTGTATAGTCTTCCTATTGATTTATTAAACTTAATAGCATAGATTTCTTTACCAAACAAGACACAGTATTTTGAAATGCTTCGTAACATACTCACCATTTAGTTCCTACTCTTACCCTGTTCCTTCTGCTTCATGTAGACATCATATAGAATTGTAGTCATGGTTTGTCCTAGATATAATTTCTCCTCTTTTCTTTCGTCTTTGCAACATCTTTCTAAATAAAGACTATTAGCTAAGACCATAGAAGAGAGAGCTCATGCATGCCCTCTCTTGCCAAGTGTTTGGCACATTGAACGTTTGGTAAATGTTTTATGTCTTCGAGCCCTAGTTTTCTTATTTATGAAGTGAAACTAATTCCACATTCCTCATGTGGGTTTTTTTAGGAGGTAAATGTCGTAGTATGAGTGAGAATGCTTGATAACATGTAAATAATTATGTGAGAGTTGTCAGTTAGAAAGTGCCTTTTATTCCAATGCCTACCCATTTCTACTTCACTCAAGTACTCTTTTCAATCTTCTCTTCAGAATTAGTATTTCCTTTTCTTTACCCCATAGCCCTTTGTCTTTTTATGATTAAGAGAAGTCTGTATGTGTTCCCAAGCCCACAGCTGCTGGTAGGCTCCAGCAAAGGAGGTACCGTGTAGCCTGTTTCACCAGGTTTAGCACAGTAAGCTGGGAAAACCCAAGGGGAAAAGCGTTTGGGATGTTGACGAGTGAGGAAAGTAGGGTGTCGTTGGAGCTATCACTTACCAGCAAAAGAAGGGAACTGTCAAGTTAGGGGGCTATAGCATTTCCTTCTCTACCAAAAACAGTCTTGGTATGAGAACAGTGGGCTCCATAATGTAATGAAAACTCTTTCAGATACTGTTGAAGTTAAAATAAAATTGCAGTCTATGGCTTAATATAATGGTAATTTTATTTCTTACCAGGCTCATATTGGCAACTTATTAACATCAAAATTCTTCAGTTACAAGGATTTTGATACTTTATTGTATACCTGTGCAGCGGAGTTTGACTTTATGGAAAAAGAGGTAAGATGGGATTTCTAGTTCTGTTTCCTAAGGTTTTGGCCCATACATTTTTCATAAAGGGTACTACTTTTATATCAGACTCTCTGTGTGCTGTTATCTCAGTTTGAAGGAAAGGAAAATCTGGCAGCTTAGAGGAAGATATTTCTGTTTACATTAGTATAGCTCTCTGAAATATATGGCCTTTACTCCTTTTGATAATTTAGAAATATGCATTCAGACTAGAAGTGGTTTTCCAGGTGAGTAAACACAAAGGCATTTCAAGTTGCCATTTTTCAGTGTAGCATTAATTTAGTCATGCTCTCAAACTCTTATATTTTCACTCATTTTGTGGTTATTTAAATAGAAATTTGCTTTGAAACATCAAGTCCAGGCTTTTAATTCCACCAGCGTTTTTCTTTCTAAAACTGTATTCAGATGTTTAGAAGGAAAGCAGAGAGTAGTTTAGTGGATTGTGAGACAGAACCCTGCAATTTTCCTTGATGTTCTTGAACAAGCAACTCTCATTCTTTGTGTTATAGTTTACTAGTTTCTAGTAGCATGCCGTAAACAGATATTGCAAAGACAAAAGAGATAATGCATAGGAAAATACTTTGATATTTTAAAGAAATATTTAAATAAATAAAATATTAATTTGCAGTGCTTTATGAGATGGTTCAGTTCATCCAACAACAAACATATATATATATATATATGTGTGTGCCTTTTTTCATACCATCCATGTGGTACTGATTAATTATATTATCAGTGACACATTTTCCTTCAAAGTGGTGTGTGTGTGTGTGTGTGTGTTTGTGTGTGTGAGAGAAACTGGCCAACAATACTCTATTGACATGTTAGTATCCCTAACAATACCCTGTGTTACCCAGTGTCCAGAATTCCAGACCAATGGATGGCAGGGCACCACAGAGCAAACTTTTATCTACCAGTCATTCTGAGTTGAGTGTGTCCTGCAGAGGTACTGTTTACTCCACTGGCCTGTCAGTCTTCATTTATTGTGTTCCAGCAAATGGTTTTGACACACAATGGCTGACAAAGGTATATGAGTTATAGTGTTAAACCTGCTGAAACAAATAGAGGAAGCGTATTTTGCAAGACATTGAAATGCATGTTCACAGGAGATCAAGACTCCTTCAAATATTAGAGAATTAGGATGTGGTAGAAGTTATTTAATGTTATTAAGAACGTCATACATAGTGCTACAACCTGAGAGTATTAAATGTAAGTTACGTGATGAAAGAAATAATTTATAAGACATAGCATGACTTCAGTTAATTTGAAGAAAATAGCAAAGTTGTTTCCAGCATGCCATTCCTCATCACTGTAAGTATCTGAATTCATAGGGATTGTGCTGTAGAGACAGAGTAGAGTGCCAGTTCAGGGAACATACGTTCCAATTACAGTACACACATCCAGTGGAGAAAAGGGGAAAATTTAACATGGTATTTCCTAACATGATATCACACTTTCCTAACATTATATTGACTTTTCATATGACATGAAAAGATGCTTAAGATATATAATGACGTAAACAAAATGATACAGTCTTATTATACCATAATTAACACACATAAAAGTAAAAAAAGTGTAGAACAGTGGTTTTTTTGGGTGGAGAGATAATTGAGGGGTGCACAGGATTACAATGTGTAGAGCTTTGTTATTAAACTTATTTCTGTATTTTTTTCTGTTACTAAAGAAAATGTAAAAGTGTGTTTTGTTCTCCTCATAAACATTGATCATTATGTTGTTTGTGCGTGAGACAGAAAGTGTGTGTGTGTTTCAAGGATAATATTTTCATCCCCCACAAAATATACAGGAAAAGCTTATTATATTTAAAGGAACTTTACTTATGTTAGGTAAATATTAAGTTGGTCTCTCTGGTTAGATAAGTAGCATGCAAAAAGTGAACAGTAATCTCATCAGTCACATTTCACACTTACAGGTGTTTGGGTACTGTATTTTTAGTGTTTCAACTCAGCATTTTGGGGAAGTTCATTTCTTTGTAAATGCACCTTCTTTTTTATGATGGCAGTCAGTGGGTAGATTGGTGAATGTTCTTATTTCTCTAGTTTTAGAAATTTACCTATTTCATTATTTGAAATGAAGTTTTGTTTGGTTAAAATATTTTCTTCTAACAAAACATCTCTTTGTATTTCAGACTCCACTGAGATACACAAAGACATTATTGCTTCCAGTTGTTCTTGTAGTGTTTATTGCAATTGTTAGAAAGGTATGTCCACCACTTAAGAGGTCTTTCTTATAATGAAACATTTTCTTGCTTTTACATAGTAGTTCCATATACTTGGCCACATATTAATCTGAAACAGTGTTTTGTATGGGCTTACTGTAACATATTCTATGTTTTCTTAGTGATAGTTTTTTATAGACATTTATACATCTTCATTCTGTCTGCTAGCACAAAATAGACATAGGAAATTGTTGGCTCAAGTTTTGATAGTCATGTATTTTGAAAGACATGATCAGAGACCATATTGACCCAGATGCAAGTTGCCTGTGTAAATAATTACTGGCTTTTAACTTAAATATTTTTCAAAAATGTTTACTATATACCTTTCTAAGTGATTTGTCCAGTGTGCAGTACCTCCTAGATTGTGTTTATTATTCATCAGAAAGAAAAATATAGAGTATTTGCAGTGTGTTGATGAACTAGATAAAATATTTAGGTCCCCAACTTGGCTTTGATAGTAAAATTCTAAGCCCAGATATAAATAAGGTCAAAAAACACTAACTTTAACAAATAAGAGCAAGTGTGATATTCCTTTTCTTTTTTTCTTTCAAGAATTGTGCATTCTGTAACCAAATGTGTCTTAAGAGAGTGAATAGAAATTAATCTGTGGTGGAAAAAGACATTACAGACCTTAAAAGTTTCCTGATCTGTAGCCAGTGATTTCTTTGTGAACACAAATTCGTTTATTTGTAGAATATTCTGAACTATAACAGTTGTTCACATTATATATTTGTACTCTGCCTTGTATAGAACATTTTCACATGAGTATTTAAATTGTTTATTTGACAACTCTATGGGGTAGACAAATGTTATCATCCCCATTTTAGCATGCAGAACTGAAAGATCAGAGATGTTAGGGGCCTCACATCATGTTCATTAAAAAGGAAGGGAAGAGTGAGACTCCGGCTCTGCACCTTCCCCCATCACTGGTCTACATCTGGCATTCAGCTGTATACTCCGACAGTACTTTTCATCTCTAATCAGTTAATAAAGTTAATAATCAGTTCCTGCTGTGTACTAGGCTTTGTGTGTGCTTTGTACTTTTATATACTTTATGTGGATTTGCACTAGTGGGTACTCAAAAAATAGTAAGCATCGGCCATCCAGAACATATGCAAAAGATAGCAACCTAAGTGGTGCGAGATGATGAAAACTATTAGGTGGGCTGTTCGGTTTAAAGAGGAAAAGATTCAGATGGAAAGCGGATAATTATTTTGAAATATGTTAAAAGCCTGCCCCATGTAAATAAGGTTACACACAATCTGGCTCCTTAGAATTATGGCCAATTCCAGGCAGTAGGACTTTGACCAGCACTGATCTATACTGATAAGGAAAGTGTTACAGATTCAAGCAGCAGGTGTGTGGTTCTTCCAAAGGCTAGATTACAACCAGTCAGCAGTGTTGTAGAGAATATCCATACAGGAGATAGGATTTTAGATTAGATGACCTCCCTGTTACTGCTAAATATGAAAGCACAGTGACTGTTTTTCAAATGCTTCTAGCTGTAACTATCAACCTCTGAGCCAGCTCTCCAGTTTTCTGTGTGTACAATTAAGGAGAGGTATTGCCAGCAATGTTGGCATGGTGGCAGCTGCACTGAATGTGAATTTGAAGCCAAAACATTTGGTTTCAAGACTACAGTGCTTCTTAGTAGTTGTCTACTTACAGGGAGATTATTTAATCCACCTAAGCCTGTTGCTCCTTCACAAAATGAGGATGATATAATCTCCCCAACACAGTTGTTGAATATTAGCTTTGATCAAATACTATTCAAATGTAAGATTATATTGTTGTGATTATTATTTTCTGAGTTATCTCTTGTCTTCATACTTATATTTTTCATTAAAAGATTTACAGTTTAGAAGATACTTTAGTTAAAATATTATTTTCTCCAACACAGCTTTTCTAAAGTGTTTCAAAATCTATTTACAGATTATTAGTGATATGTGGGGTGTCTTAGCTAAACAACAGACACATGTAAGGTAAGTATGCTATTAAGAATTTTGTTAACCTACTCTGTTCATTTATTAAATAGATATTTACAGTGTATTGATTTTATACTTATATGCCTAATATTTGATAATTGATGTGTTTATTGTGGTCATTTCCCTTCTTAGCATTTCTTCTTATTTCCTGGCTATGCAGAACACAGCACATCACTTATTCATCCTTCAGATGTCATCCAGTACAATCTGACAGTAGCCCTGCACATAATCTACACTTGAAGGGCACAGTTTTGTACTTCAGTAGGGAAAGTAAATTATTATGTGAGTGGTTTTAGGACCAGTGGACTGCCTTTTGGGAAATGAGCAGGGAAATAAAAAACTGGATTCATTCCTCACTTTTTACACAAAATAAGTTTCAGATGAAGCAGAGAATTAGGTATAGAAAAAAAGTGAAACCCCAAAATTAACCCAAAGGGTATGTTTATAATCTTAGAGAGGCCTATGGCATACTTGGTATTTTCCACCATCACATCCTATATCTTCCTCTTTTACCATTTACCACCTCTGTTCTTAAATACTGATGTGTCACCTGTATCTCCTGAAGAGACCGATCACTTGTTCAACACTTTATGTACAATTCCTGCAAGATTGTAAAGAATGGTAGTTGAATGAGTGAGTATTTATATGACTAATGAACATGAAAAGGTAGTCTTGATCCTCTGATAAAGACATTCAGGTTAAAGTGAAGACCTTTTTGCTTATCATATTTCTAAACATTAATAATGGATCCAGTGCTTACACGGGTGGGAGGTAGTAGATGGGAAGGAAATTTGGCAATACACAGTAAAACATACAGTGGGTCTGTCCTTTAACCCTGCAGCTCCACCAGTGCAAGTGTACCCTTGAGAGATGCTCACAGAAATACAGACATGATGGGGAGAAGTGCCTTTTGTAGTATTGTGTGTAATGTGAGAAAGGGAAACATCCAAAATATGTGTCATGATCCAATCAGAGTGGAATTTTAGGCCATCTTTATGGAAATAGGTCCATCATGCATTATTGAATTTTAAAAATTGCCTCTGTGTGTGTGTGTGTGTGTGTGTGTGTGTGTGTGTGTGTGTATGGTGATTATGCTTATGTTTAAAATTTGGAGATTTTTATGTGTTTATCTTTGCATAGAAGTGATCTGGAAAGATAAAATCTGTAACTATTAAGAGTGTGGGATTGGAAGGTGAAGTGTAAAAGTAATTTTAACTTTACTTTTATTCTTTTGTGGGATTTTGGGGGGGGACAGGGATTGTCAAATGTATGTATCTATATTTTCTTTTATAATCTGAATATACACAGCCTTATATTATCCCCTCACCTCCAAGTATCTGCCAACATAATGATAAATTATTGCACATACTCCTGAGAGACTTTTTGTTCTCGTTTAGAAACAATTTATTGTAACTGTGCCCTTGTTTATACCTGTAGCATTTCAGTTGAGGGCTAGTGGGGAAAGAAGAAGGTTCTGGTTTACAATGCCAAAACTTTTCTTCATTTGAGCTGAAATTATTTCTGAAGAGCTCAGGAAGAAGCTACAGAGTTTTAGCTCTAGTATGCAACTCTAGAAGAGGAAGGTGGAACTTTTCACAGAAATAAAGCTATCCCTTCAAGAATAACTCACCTATAGAAATAATTATAGGAAACCATTGAGCTTCATACGGTTTTCAGTTCAAATAGGATCAGAGCAGTTTTTTGGAAGAGGGGTGGCATGTTGACATTTTATTTTGCATAACTACCAAAGCCAGTGTAAAGAGAAGAGTAGGACATAAATTTTAACTATCAAAGACGTGAATGCCAATATTGTCTTTACTCAAAGACCCAGGAAGTAGGATAGAGGCAGCATGATGTAGTAAAAAGTATATTGGCTCTGAAGTCAGTCCAAATATAGTCCTGGCTGCCACTTAGTAGCTCCGTGATTCCCTTTCCTTGTCTGTAAATTGGGGTAATAAATGGTTGGGGGATTAGAGTTAGTGGAATGTACTAAGCATATTAACATTGTAAGAGCTCAAAAAATGGTAACCGATAGTTTTTACTTGGCGTGAAAGAAGAATAAAGAAAGAACTGTTTCATCTCCTTCCCCAGACCCTTATGTTTTCTCAGTTTGCTAATACGTCAGTATTTTTGAGGCCAAATTCTCAAATTAGATTATATGCTACCCGGATTAACAGTTTATTGATACATTTGTTCATTCATTTAAAAAAAAAAAAGTTGAGCGCTAAATGCCAGGTGTTACTCTAGGTCTTGGGAACATATCAGTGCTTAAAAAAGACAAGGTGTGTGTTGTCAACTCACACATTTCTGTCTCTGACTCGGACTTCTCCCTTGAACTCAGATTTATACATGTAACCACCTATTTGCCATCTATACTTGGGTGCCTGGTGAGAATCTCAAAGTTCTTTTTCATTCCTTGCTTTGCTGGGGTATCACAGTGAGGGAGCTGGGACACCACAGTGTGCCTTTGTTGTCCTAATAAATGCCCATGTAGTCAAATAGTCAGGATATAATACAACATTGTCATTCTTCATAATTCTTAAAAGAGTATAGCACCAGTTTTGGCATGTAACTTTTAGTTATTTTGATTTGCCTATATGTGTCCTGAGAGAATGTTATAGAAGTTGTAAATGTCTGTTTGCAAGATGAAAATGCAAACATAGGAAGCAAGTGCTTCAATAGTGAACTGATAGCAGTATATTTTTTTCTGTTCCAGAAAACACCAGTTTGATCATGGAGAGGTAAAGACTTAATATTACTATAATTTTACTTATCTTAAAGTTGCATGTATTTGGACTTCCCTTTCTAGTTCCAGTTTCTAACTTCGTTGGCAGTTGTCAGTAATCATCTTGAAAATAGCCTGGTATTATGTGTTTTTATGAGAATGCTACATACATGCAGATTGACCATTCATTTGTTAAAATTAACTTGAAAACCCATTTGTTCTGCTCTGATCATCTTTATGCTAATAGCAGTTGATTTCTGGAGCTCATTTAGACATACATGTGAGGTGTCTTTTGCATGACTGGAAATCACTTTCCTCTCTGCTCACCTTGCTTGAAGCTTCAGAGATGTGATTGGTTACTGCTACTCCCATCTCCTAGTGGTCCAGCCTGGTTTTGAGGGCAGTTCCAAGGTAGAGTCCTCAGATCTTGAGGCAGCAGTCATTTCTTTTACCACTTTCTATTTTTGATCTGATGGTTACATCAAGGTAGATTCAGAAATGTGGGCTTTATTAACAACAGATTTGACTCTGAGAATCACAGAAACACTTGCCTTAATGACTTTATGATTTTAGCTTTCCACTAAAATGGAACCGTTTGAAAGTGAATTTTAAGAATTATTTTAGAAATTTCAGAAACCAAAGTAGTATTAGTTTTTGTTACTAAGGAGAACATACCCTTTTCTGCATATTACTGGCTTAGTATTCTTAACCTTCACAAACAGTAGGAGTAAAAAATACTTTCTTTTTTCTTTCAGCTGGTATATCATGCTTTGCAATTGTTAGCATATACAGCCCTTGGTATTTTAATTATGAGACTAAAACTCTTCTTGACACCCCACATGTGTGTTATGGCATCACTGATCTGCTCAAGACAGGTAACATGTTATGCTGGAGTATAGCTATGATGATAATTCTAGCCTTTATTATTGAGTGGCCCTAAAATAATGAATTGCAAAGTCTTTTAAGTGATTATAGTTAAAGCTCTTTATGGTTTTGTACTTATCTTTCTTAAAGGGTAAGGGGGGCCAAAGCTGATCATTTTCTGTCTTTCTAAAGACTTCTACAATAGTTGTTGGTGTAAAGCAAACACTGATTTAGTACGGGCTGAGTTCATGAGAGATTACTGTAGGTGCTGATAGAAAGCAGAGCTTAATCATACAAATAATAACTTTTTTGTTGTGACATTCGTATCACAAAGAATTCTAATAATTGATTTCAAGTTATAAGTGCTTGCAAATTATATGTTCTTTTTTTAGTATCAAACTTGAACCTTTGTTTTTTTTTTTTTTTTCACTTATTTGGTGCACATTTGTGTGCACATTGTTGACTTGTGCTTCTTAAAATTTAGTTTAAGCTGCATGTGGTAGTTCTCTGCTTATTTTTCCTGGATAATTGCCTCCTTGCTCTGTATTCACAGATTTTTATGCCTCTCCGTAGTGTCGCCTTTCCATTAGTCAACTCACCTAGGTACAACAGCAGCACCTCTCTTAAACGTAGCAGATATTCACTAGGCACCTACACTGTGCACTCTAGGATGGAAGATAGAGTAGTGGACAGAAAAGTTAAAAAAAAAAAAACAAAAAAAAAAACAGTGTTTATAAGCCCTCAGGAAACTTGAAATCTAGCTCTGCAGACATTTCGAGAAAGATCAGGAGAACAGTGTTGTTATGGAGTGTGGACTATTTGAATATGGAAAAAATTAGCCAGCTTCAAAGTTCCCAATCAGAATGTTGTATTATGATAAAAGGGTACTGGTTTCCACTTTTCTGATTCCTTCAGGCTGGCACAGGAAAGGAGGCTGGGTGGAATCCTTTAATCTTTTTTATTCTGCAGCATGACTAATAAAGGTTGGTGCAAACGTAACTGCAGGTTTTGCTATTTTAATGACAAAACCCGCCATTACTTTTACATCAACCAGATAGAAAGGATCATCCAGGGCAGGTTTTGCAAGTGTGGGGTTTCTGCTGTCACATAGGGCCTCGCGTTCAGAAGGACCCTGAACTTGGTTGAATATTTGCTGCTGCTGTTTTGAACTTCTTAGTAATTTTTGAACAAGGGACCCCCCCTTTTTTTTTTTTGCCCTCGGCCTTGTACATTGGGTAGGTAGGTATGGCTTTACTTGAATTTGAGAGTAGAGAAAGCAGATTGAGAAAAGAGCTTTCTATATTGTGTTCCACTTACATAAGGCTGATGGTAGAATTCTTTTGATCCCGAAGATTATTATTTGGGGGCTTTTTCTTTTGGATAATTAATCCTTTATCTGGGCCTCTAGTAGAGGCCACATTCTTCTCTGGGAAGAAGTTTTGCATAATAGATACAACTACTTTATACTAACAATTAACAATATAGTCTCAATTTGGTTTCAGCTATTTGGATGGCTCTTTTGCAAAGTACATCCTGGTGCTGTCGTTTTTGCTATATTAGCAGCGATGTCAATACAAGGTTCAGCAAATCTGCAAACCCAGTGGAATATTGTAGGGGAGTTCAGCAATTTGCCACAAGAAGAACTTATAGAATGGATCAAATATAATACTAAACCAGGTAAAAAAAATTCATATTATTTAGTTGTTTTTTCTCACAATTTTATATACCAGTGCAAACTCTTAAACCCAAGTAACTTCCAGTAATCTTAACTCTTTCTAAGGAGTATTGCTTTTAGAATATCCAAAACAAAGGAGATAATAATCCTGTTTAAATAGTTTGTTGGGGAAAGTTATACATATGTTCTTAGTAATTTATTCTGCATTTTTAAAATTGTACTTTAAATTCTGGGGTACATGTACAGAACGTGCAAGTTTGTTACATAGGGATACACGTGCCATGGTGGTTGGCTGCATCCATCACCCCATCATCTACCTTAAGTATTTCTCCTATTGCTGTCCCTCCCCTAAGTCCCCGCCACCCAACGGGTCCCAGTGTGTGATGTTCCACTCCCTGTGTCCATATGTCCTCATTGTTCAACTCCGACTTATGAGCGAGAACATGCAGTGTTTGATTTTCTGCTCTTGTGTTAGTTTGCTGAGAATGATGATTTCCAGCTTCATCCATGTCCATCCAAAGGACATGAACTCATTCTTTTTTTTATGACTGCATGGTATTCCATGGTATATATGTGCCACATTTTCTTTATCCAAGCTGTCATTGATGGGCATTTGGGTAGGTTCCAAGCCTTTGCTATGTGAACAGTACTGCAGTAAACATACATGTGCTGTGTGTTTATAATAGAACGATTTATAATTCTTTGGGTATATACCCAGTAATGGAATTGCTGGGTCAAATGGTATTCCTAGTTCTAGATTCTTGAGGAATGGCCACACTGTCTTCCACAATGGTTGAACTAATTTATACTACCACCAACAGTGTAAAAGTGTTCCTATTTCTCCACATCCTCTCCATCAGCTGTTGTCTCCTGACTTTAATCATTGCCATTCTAACTGGCGTGAGATGATATCTCATTGTGGTTTTAATTTGCATTTCTCTATTGACCAGTGATGATGAGCTTTTTTTCATATGTTTGTTGGCTGCATAAATGTCTCCTTTTGAGAAGCGTTTGTTCATATCCTTCGCCTACTTCTTGATGGTGTTGTTTGTTTCCTGTAAATCTGTTTAAGTTCTTTGTAGATTCTGGATACCAGCCCTTTGTCAGATGAGTAGACTGCAAAATTTTTCTCCCATTCTGTAGGTTGCCTGATGATACTTACTTTTGCTGAGCAGAAGAAACTATCACTCTGTCACTATGCAGAGTGACACTTCTTTTGCTGTGCAGAAGAAACTATCAACTGTCACTCTGATGATAGTTTCTTTTGCTGTGCAGAAGCTCTTTAGTTTATTTAGATCCCATTTGTCTGTTTTGGCTTTTGTTGCCATTCCTTTGGGTGTTTTAATCATGAAGTCTTTGCCCATGCCTGTGTCCTGAATGGTTACCTAGGTTTTCTTTTAGGGTTGTTAGGTTTTAGGTCTTGTGTTTAAGTCTTTAAGCCATCTTGAGTTAATTTTTGTAAGGTGTAAGGAAGGGATCCAGTTTCAATTTTCTGCATGTGGCTAGCCAGTTTTCCCAACACCATTTATTAAATTGGGATTTCTTTTTCCATTGCTGAAGGTGTGTGGTGTTATTTTTGAGGCCTCTATTCTAAGTTCCATTGGTGTATTTATCTGTCTTGGTACTAGTACCATGCTGTTTTGGTTACTGTAGCCTTGTAGTATAGTATGAAGTCAGGTAGCATGATGCCTCCAGCTTTGTGTTTTTTTTTGTTTTTTGTTTTTTGTTTTTGCTTGTAATTGTCTTGGCTATGCAGGCTCTTTTTTGGTTCCATGTGAAATTTAAGGTGTTTTTTTCCAATTCTATGAAGAAAGTCAGTGGTAGCTTGATAAGGATAGCATTGACTCTATAGATTACTTTGGGGGGAGTATGGCCATTTTCACAATTTTGATTCTTCCTAACCATGAGCATGGAATGTTTTTCCATATGTTTGTGTCCTCTCTTACTTCCTTGAGCAGTAGTTTGTAGCTCTCCTTGAAGAGGTCCTTCATATCCCTTGTAAGTTGTATTCCTAGGTATTTTATTCTCTTTGTAGCAATTGTGAATGGGAGTTCACTCATGTTTCTCTGTTATTGGTGTATAAGAATGCTTGTGATTTTTGCACATTGATTTTGTATCCTGAGACTTTGCTGAAGTTGCTTATCAGCTTAAGGAGATTTGGGGCTGAGACAACGGAGTCGTCTTCTAAATATACAATCATATCATCTGCAAATAGAGACAATTTGACTTCCTCTTTACCTATTTAAATACCCTTTCTTTCTTTCTTTTGCCTGATTGCCCTGGCCGAAACTTCCAATACTATGTTGAATAGGAGTGGTGAGAGAGGGCATCTTTGTTTTGTGCCAGTCTTCAAAGGGAATGCTTCCTGTTTTTGCCCATTCAGTATGATATTAGCTGTGAGTTTGTCATAAATAGCTCTTATTATTTTGAGATACGTTCCGTCAATACCTAGTTTATTGAGAGTTTTTAGCATGAAGGGTTGTTGAATTTTGTCAAAGGCTTTCTCTGGTCTATTGAGATAATCCTGGTTTTTGTCTTTGGTTCTATTTACGTGATGAATTACTTTTATTGATTTGCGTATGTTGAACCAGCCTTGCATCCTAGGGATGAAGCCGACTTGATCTTGATGGATAAGCTTCTTGATGTGCTGCTGGATTCAGTTTTTTTGCCAGTATTTTATTGAGGATTTTTGCATCAATGTTCATCAGGGATATTGGCCTGAAATTTTCTTTTTTAGTTGTGTCTCTGCCAGATTTTGGTATCAGGATAATGTTGGCCTCATAAAATGAGTTAGAGAGGATTCACTCTTTTACTATTGTTTCAGATAGTTTCAGAAGGAATGATACCAGCTCTTCTTTGTACTTCTGGTAGAATTCAGCTGTGAAACCATCTAGTCTTGAACTTTCTTTGGTTGGTAGGCTATTAATTGCTGCCTCAATTTCAAACCTTGTTATTGATCTATTCAGGGATTTGACTTCTTCCTAGTTTAGTGTTGGAAGGGTATAAATGTCCAGGAATTTATCAGTTTCTTCTAGATTTTCTGTTTTATATGCATAGAGGTGTTTATAGTATTCTCTGATGGTAGTTTGTATTTCTGTGGGATCAGTGGTGATATCACCTTTATTATTTTTTATTACATCTGTTTGATTCTTCTCTCTTTTCTTCTTTATTAGTCTGGCTGGTGGTCTATTTGTTTTGTTGATCTTTTCAAAAAAAAAAAAAAACAGATCCTGGATTCACTGATTTTTTTTTTTTGAAGGGTTTTTTTGTGTCTCTATCTCCTAGTTCTACTCTGTTATTAGTTATTTCTTGCCCTCTGCTGGCTTTTGAATGTGTTTGTCCATGCTTCTCTAGTTCTTTTAATTGTGATGTTAGGGTATCGATTTTAGATCTTTCTGCTTTCTCTGTTGGGCATTTAGTGCTATAAATTTCCCTCTACATACTACTTTAAATGTTTCCCAAAAATTCTGGTACTTTGCATCTTCTTATTAGTTTCAAAGAACACCTTTATTTCTGCCTTTATTTTGTTATTTATCCAGTAGTCATTTAGGAGCAGATTGTTCTGTTTCCATGTAGTTTTGCGGTTTTGAATGAATTTCTTAATCCTGAGTTCTAATTTGATTGCACTGTGGTCTGAGGAACTGTTTGTTTTGATTTCTGTCCTTTTGCATTTGCTGAGGAGTGTTTTACTTCCAACTGTGTGGTCAATTTTAGAATAGGTGCAATGTGGTGCTAAGAAGAATGTATATTCTGTTGATTTGGGGTGGAGAGTTCTGTAGACGTCTATTAGGTCCATTTGGTACAGAGCTGAGTTCAAGTCCTGGATATATTTGTTAATATTCTGTTTTGTTGATCTGTCTAATATTGACAGTGAGGTGTTAAAGTCTCCCACTATTATTGTGTGGGAGCCTTAAGTCTCTTTGTAGGTCTCTAAGAACTTGTTTTATGTATCTGGGTGCTCCTGCACTGGGTGCATATATATTTAGGATAGTGCTTCTTGTTGCATTGATCCCATTACCATGATGGTTTAAGGTCTATTTTATCAGAGACTAGGATTGCTCCCCTTGCTTTCTTTTTTTTTTTTTTTTTTTTTTTTGCTTTCTATTTGCTTGGTAAATCTTTCTCCATTACTTTATTTTAAGCCTATGTGTGTCTTTGCCCATGAAATGGGTCTCCTGAATAAAGCACACTGATAGGTCTTGACTCTTTATCAGTCTGTGGGCATTTAGCCCATTTACATTTAAGGTTAATATGGTTATGTGTGAATTTGATTCTGCCATTATGATACTAGCTGATAATTTTGCTCATTAGTTGATGTAGTTTCTACCTAGTGTCAATGGTCTTTACAATTTGGTATGTTTTTGCACTGGCTGGTACTGGTTGTTCCTTTTCATGTATAGTGCTTCCTTCAGAAGCTCTTATAGGGCAGGCCTGGTGGAGACAAAATCTCTCAGCCTTTGCTTGTCTGTAAAGGGTTTTATTTCTCCTTCGCTTATGAAGCTTAGTTTGGCTGGACATGAAACTCTACGTTGAAAGTTCTTTTCTTTAAGAACGTTAAATATTGGCCTCCACTCTCTTCTGGCTTGTAGGGTTTCTGCAGAGAGATCCGCTGTCAGTCTAATTGGCTTTCCTTTGTGGGTAACCCGACCTTTCTCTCTGGCTGCCCTTAGCATTTTTCCCTTCATTTCAGCCTTGGTGAATCTGACGATTATGTGTCTTTGGGTTGCTCTTCTTGAGGAGTATCTTTGTGGTGTTCTTTGTATTTCCTGAATTTGAATGTTGGCCTTCCTTGCTAGATTAGGGAAGTTCTCCTGGTTAATATTCTGAAGAGTGTTTTCCAACCTGGTTTTATTCTCTCTGTCACTTTTAGCTACATCGATCAAACATAGATTTGGTCTTTTCTTGCAATCCAATATTTCTTGGAGGCTTTGTTCATTTCTTTTCACTCTTTTTTTCTCTATTCTTGTCTTCCTGCTTTATTTCATTGAATTGATCTTCAATCTCTGGTATCCTTTCTTCTGTTTGATTAATTCAGCTGTTGAAACTTGTGTATGCTTCGCAAAGTTCTCATGCTGTGTTTTTCATCTCCATCAGGTCATTCATGTTCTTCTCTAAACTGGTTATTCTAGTTAGCATTTCGTCGAACTTTTATTCAAGGTTCTTAACTTACTTGCATTGGGTTAGAACATGCTCATTTAGCTCAGAGAAGTTTGTTATTACCCACATTCTGAAGCCTGCTTCTGTCAGTTTGTCAAGCTCATTCTCCATCCAGTTTTGTTCCCTTGATGGCAAGGAGCTGTGATCCCTTAAGGAGAAGAAGTGTTCTGGTTTTTGGAGTTTTCAGCCTTTTTGCGCTTGTTTCTTCCATCTTTGTGGATTTATCTTCCTTTGGTTTATGAAGTTGGTGACCTTTGGATGGGGTCTCTGAGTGGACCTCCTTTTTGTTGATGTTGAAACTATTTCTTTCTGTTTATGAGTTTTCCTTCTAACAGTCAGGCCCCTCTGATGCAGGTCTGTCGGAGTTTGCTGGAGGTCCACTCCAGACCCTGCTTGCCTGGGAATCACCAGTGGAGACTGCAGAACAGCAAAGATTGCTGCCTGTTCCTTCCTCTGGTAGCTTCATCCCATAGGAGTACCTGCCAGATGCCAGCCAGAGCTGTTCCATATGAGGTGTCTCCCAGTCAGGGTACATGGAGGTCAGGGAGCTACTTGAGGCTATCCCTTATCAGAGCTAAAACACTGTGTTGGGAAATCCGCTATTCTCTTCAGAGCCTGGGATGTTTAGGTCTGCTGAAGCTGTAACCACTACTGCTGTTTTTCCCAGGTGTTCTGTCCCAGGAAGGTGGGGGCTTTATTTATAAGTCCCTGATGGGCTGCTGCCTTTTTTCAGAGATGCTCTGCCCAGCGAAGACATCTAGTGAGACAGTTCCTACAGCTACTGATCTGTGTTGGGCCCTGCCCAGATGGGATTTTCCGGCAGCTTTGCTTACAGTGTGGGGTTGAAACCACCTACTCAAACCTCAGCAATGGCAGATGCCCCTCCCCCCCACCAAGCTCAAAGGACCCAGGTCAAGTTCAGATTGCTGTGCTGGCTGTGAGAATTTCAAGCCAGTGGATTGTAGCTTGCTGGTCTCCATGGGGGTAGGACCCGCTAAGCCAGGCAACTTGCTCCCTGGCTTCAGCCCCCTTTCCAGGGGAGTGAACAATTTTATCTTGCTGGCATTCCAGGTGCCGCTGGGGTATGAAAAAGAAATTCGGTTTCTGCCCAAATGGCTGTCCAGTTTTGTGCTGAAAACTCAGGGACCAGATGAATGTGTAGGTACCAGAGGGAATCTCTGGGTCTGTGGGTTGTGAAGACCATGGAAAAAGCACAGTATCTGGGCCAGAGTGCAGGAAACAGCCCCTAATGGCTTCCCTTGGCTAGGGGAAGGAGTTCCTCGGCCCCTCATGCTTCCCGGGTGAGGCAATGCTCCACCCTGCTTTGGCTTGCCCTCCTTGGGCTGCACCCACTGACCAACTAGTCTCAATGAACCAGGTACCTCAGTTGAAAATGTGGAAATCACCCACGTTCTACGTCGATCTTGCTGGGAGCTGTGCACCAGAGCTGTTCCTATTTGGCCATCTTGCCTGGGGATGATTCTGCTGTTTTTATAAATTTTAATTTGTTCAGAATTTATTCACAGTCATAAATGCACATTTAAAATAATTTTTTCTATGCTTATTTTCTTAGTGAATTTTTAATATTAGTTCTTCACATTCCATCTTGAAATAAACTCATGGAATGTGATACTTTATTCATGTGTAGAAAGGAAGACTTTGTTGTCATCTGTGTATCAAATGATTGAATACTAAATCATCTTCCAGAATTCCTTGTTACTATAAAGCTTTTCTAGACAATTTGATACTTCTTTTCTAGATTCAGGAAAGATTTCTGAGTTTTTTTTTTTTTTTAAGAAAGCTTTAATGAGATGATGAAGCTCTGTTTTCCAAGAAAAATCATTTACCCAGGCCTGGTTGCCAACTGCTACTTTATCAGCCATCTGACTTAATAGTTCTGCCATTGAATCCTGAAGTTGTGAGCCTTGCTGGGCCTCCGCTCTGTTACTTGTGAAATAATTGATTTAAACTTGAAGGAGACCCTTTCTCATGCTCATTGAATGTCATCCTGAGACCTTCCTCTTGTTTTCCAGATGCAGTGTTTGCAGGTGCCATGCCCACGATGGCAAGTGTTAAGCTCTCTGCACTTCGGCCCATTGTGAATCATCCACATTATGAAGATGCAGGCTTGAGGTCAGTGCACAGTCTCACATTATCAAAAACAAACCTTCCATGCAAACAGACTGAGTGGCGGACACCAGCAAACTAATGAGTAATGTTCCAAAAGGATATGATGAACTGAGATTTATCGAGTTGGGTAACAGAAAGCTGAAATAAGACTGCTAAGCACTAAACAAATCTGTTAAGACTGCAGAGGGCAAGAAAATGACAGCTTTCAGGGCTATCTTCTCTACCAGGCAGAAAAAAGAAGTCATACTATAACACTTTCCCACAGGTTAACAGGGCTCTGAAATGTCCAGGTCCTTTTCATCCTGTAACTCTCTGAAGAGTTTAGCTTAGAGTGTTTATTAAGGTTTTCTCATAGGTGATTTTTCTTGAGTTTGGAGAAGTCATTTGAAGTAGAATCCCATTCAAAAGGGAGTTTATTCTGGTTTTCACCAGTACAGCCTGTTAGAATGAACTTGGGTATTTTCTATTTTTTTAGATTTTTTTGAGACTTTAAAAAACAATTTAGAGACGTGTTATCTAAATTATTTTTTAAATAAGATTTAATTTTTCATGCAATTTCTAAGGCAGGTGATGCTATTCATTTTCTAAGTGATTAGGGGAATCTTACTAGTATATTGTTTTGCGTAACAACAGCATATACATTTTACAAATAAGCTTTTTCATTAAAAAAATCAATCTTACCAAGCTAATTTCCAGACCAATTTTGTTGAATAAGTTTAGTTTTTCTTAAATCTAGAAATAAAATGAAGAACCATTTAATGTGAGTTATTGTTGATGTCAAAGTTGAGACTGTTGCAGCTTCAGAGTAGTCCTGTAGTTTGTTTGTTGTAGTTCATCCCTGTTCACACACAGGGAACCTTACTCTTAAATGTGACAGAGTAGTGAAGAATTGAAGACAAATAAATAAGTGAAGAGACTCAAAAAACACCAAGTTTGGAAATTTAGCGGTGTGTTAAAGGCGACCCTCTTCTCCCATGACTTCCTCCTTCTGCCTTCTGCTTTTGACCTCACTGATGCCCCTTAGCAGGAACTCCCGTGAGGAATTTCCTCCTGACTGGATTCTTCTTCATCATCTGTCTTCTAGTCTCATTCACTGCTTTCTTCCAAATGTGTTGATTGTATCTTTTTAATCTTGAAAATTTTGTGCCCAACTATTTTTCTTTAAAGAGCCAGAACAAAAATAGTATATTCAATGTATAGTCGGAAAGCAGCTGAAGAAGTGAAGCGAGAACTGATAAAGTTAAAAGTGAATTATTACATTCTAGAAGAGTCATGGTGTGTAAGAAGATCCAAGTGAGTATCAACACAGTTAATATTTTATAATCATAAGACACAAAGGTTAATTCAAGCACATGGCAAGAGCTTTGCTGGTGGCGGGGGTGTGTATATAACATTTAATAAAGTGTAAGTGAAAAAAAAATTTTTTTTGTTTTTGAGACAGACTTTCTGTCGCCGAGGCTGGAGTGCAGTGGCATGATCTTGGCTCACTGCAACCTCTGCCTTCCAAGTTCCGGCAATTCTCATGCCTCAGCCTCCCAAGTAGCTGGGATTACAGGTATACACCACCACACCCAGTTAATTTTTGTATTTTTAGTTGAGATGGGATTTTGCCATGTTGACCAGGCTGGTCTCAAACTCCTGGCCTCAAGTGCTCCTCCTGCCTTGGCCTCTCAAAGTGCTGGGGACTATAGGTGTGAGCCAGCATTCGTGGCCTGAAAAAACTTTCTAGATAATGATTTGGAGTCTTTCTTTTCTAGTCCTTATAAATTTCTTTTTTTTTTTTTTAAATAATGATTTGTGTGTGTATACTACCTTAAAGAGATTTTATTGGCACTAATTGATAATCTCCCAAATTGTTCATATTTGCTTTTGATGTTTTAAAAAAACCTTTTATTTAAAGTTAGATTTTTTTTTTTTTTTCCAAAATACTTCCAGGGTCTGAAACCAAGTAAATGGGGAGCCTCATTTTGGTGAAGTCAGGCAGCTGAGCACCAGGGGCCACATCATCCGTACTGTGTCTCTGTACTACACTGTGTCCTGTTGATGGATGGGTTACCCTGTTAGCATCAACTCAGAATGAAACTTTTCTTCCCTGGCATCTCACATCTTATTTGAATGGGAAAATAACTATACTATGACCCACATTCTCTTGGTTTTATAGTTGTTAAAAGTTCCTATTTCCACAGAGATGTTTACTAAGCTGAGTATAGCTCCAAGCTACAGTAAGATCTTGAAAGCAGATGTGAATCTAAAGTTCTAGAAACCTGGCACGTGAGTGATAACAGCAGGTGACAGTAGCCTGCTTTTAAAGTACCAAAACATTCACTCCATGAAGAGCACAGTACAGAAACACTTTTATCAGAAATACATGCTATTTTATGGAATGATAATTTTTTAAAAATTCTTTACTACTCTTTAAGTAGAGATTGTTATATTTATGGCTTAATCATAAATTGCCCAACATATATTTCAATGACACATATGGTATAAGACAAAATTGTTAAAATAGTTCTGTGACATAATATCCACAGTTTTGCTCACAGGGAAACTAAAATTATTGATCATAGAATGATTTTTCTATGCATATGTGCTACATGGTTGGAATTCAGTCAGGATTTATAGAAAATGTTATTTTGTAATAATTTTGAAAATGCTTTAAGCATTTATGAATACGTGAATATATATGAAATTCACATTCTCGCCTTTAACATTGTTATATAAATTTAAGACAAAAAAGTTCTAAGCATTTCATAACAATCTTATGAGGAAATTATATGAAATGAATGGTAGGTTGACATTTGTAATAGGAAGAACTCAGTTCTTAGCATAGCTTTCTACCAGAATTGGGATCTTCTTTATTTCTTTGGACTTCACTCTCTTGAAACAACTCTTAAGTTATTGGAACATAAAAATAATGTTCATAACCTTTTTTCTCCAAGCTAACAATGAGTCTTGAGTTGAGAGTCTTCATTTTTTCCTAGATCCTACATGGAGTTTGAATATATGAAAGTTACAGAGGCTTTGTGCTTTAGGGTGTTGGGAGAGCTCCCTGGATTTGCATAGCTGTAACAGTCTAGTGTTCGGGTAGGCAGAGCACTGTTTTACTCACACAAGAAGTGATACGAAGGCAAATTTAGGAAGTATGGCAATAAACTTTGCACAGTAAACAAAATCAGCAGACACTGAACTGACTTCAGGTCACTTATGAGCACTCAGACTGAGAGTTGGGGTGCAGAGGAGGGTGTGCTGCATCTCCCCATCCCGATCTTGACTTGCAGTTATTGTGGCTGTCACAGCAGGAGTTGAGTGGGAAGAAGCTTTGAAAGTGACTCTTCAATCTGTTTTCCCGACTCATTAAAATGACACTCTCCCTCTAGTACAAGATCTAAGCCAGGCTGATGACATGCATCAGGAAACCTTGACCAGGTCCACTCTGCCTCAGCCTTGACACAAAACAAAAGCTGTGCTTTCTGCTCCAACAGGGAAGCAAATGGGGCATTCAAATAGGACAGAAAAGGGAAAAGTGACTAATACTTACCTAGTGTTTACAATTGGAGTAGGAAGTTTCTTGGCAAAGCTTTCCGCCAGGTTTGGTATCATCCTTATTTCCTTGGTCTTCACTCTCCATTTCACTTATGTCAGCCTGAACCCCTGTAGATTGCTGGGGCATGAAAGTATGTCAGAATGGGGGAAGCAGATGGGGAACTTGGATAGGAGAGGAAGGGGAAGAGGGACCAATATTTATCTAGTGCTTAATCTGTGCCTGGCAGTTGGTGAGCACTAAGTTTAAATGATCTCATTTACAAGTGGCTTAATTGTATGGCTTGATTATTCTTTAACTATTTGACACTGTGTTTAAATATAAACACTCAAATATATTTGCATGCAAGTTGTAGATTAGTTTTTAATTAACTACGGTTCTCTGCTTCCTTTTATTCCAATAATAAAATACATGTATTCAGAAGAAAATAATTCCGATTTTCGCTAATGCTATTTGCAGATGGCTGGCCTGGGGAGACCTTGGGAAACTTAGATGAGGACTAAATAGTGTTGCACCAAGGCAAACAGAGCTTCCCAAGACAGCTGTTTGCCCTCTCTTTTTCCTAAAAGCTGTTGAACTCAGGAAAACTGTGGGTCATTCTCTACTTCCTCTGTCTCACTCTCTTCCACCATGGGCCCTCAGTGTTATAACAGTTCAGCCTTGATGTGTATGAGAAAATTAAAAGATAGAAAACCCATGCCCAGCCATATTACCATAGGTGTTCAATGTCAGTAGAAACTAGTATCAGCAAGGGTGTGCAAAAATTGTGCACTTGAAGTGTCCCTCTTCATAGGAACACTCACTGGCTAAACATTTCTAGGTGATAGTTTGAAGGGAAGGTAAAAAATTGTGTATTCCTTTGACAGAGTGATAATGTTGGCTCTAGAGCAGGGGTTCCCAAGCTTCCAGCCATGGACCAGTACGTTGGCCTGTTAGGAACCTGGCCTTGCAGCATGAGGTGAGTGGAGAGTGAGCGAGCGTTACAGCCTGAGCTCTGGCTCCTGACAGATCAGTGGCAGCATTACATTCTCATAGGAGCACGAACTCTATTGTGAACTGCACATGCGAGAGATGTAGGTTGTGTGCTCCTTACGGGAATCTGATGCCTGATGATCTGAAGTGAAACAGTTTCATCCCTCCCCACTCTCCAGACCATGGAAGCATTGTCTTCCATGAAACCAGTTGCTGGTCCCAAAATGGTTGGGGACCGCTGCTCTAAAGGTTTAGCTTGAAGAAGGGAGCTCAGCACAAGACTGCTTGTGGCTGCATTGGTTTGTAATGGGAAACAATTAAAATATCTATCTGTAAGGAATTGGTTAATAATATATATGAGAACTAGCAGCTATTCAAAACAATAGAGTAGATCTTTATGCACTGACATGGAAAAATCACACCACATTTTACTGTTTAGAGTCCCAGAATAATTCCATTTTTGTAAAAACAACTCAAGCGCATCTCTCAGAGTTCTCCAGAGGGACAAAACTAATAGAATAGATGCATATATGAAAGGGAGTTTATTAAAGGAGTACTGACTCACACGATCGCAAGGTGAAGTCCCACAATAGGTCATCTGCAAGCTGAAGAACAAGGAAGCCAGTCCAAGTCCCAAAACCTCAAAAGTAGGGAAGCTGACAGTGCAGTCTTCAGTATGTGGCTGAAGGCCCAAGATCCCCTGGCAGACCACTGGTGTAGACCCGAGTCCGAAAATTGAAGAACTTGGAGTCTGGTGTTCAAGGGCAGGAAGCATCTCCAGGAGAAAGATGGAGGCCAGAAGACTCAGTCAGTGTAGTCCTTCCACATTGTTTTGCCTGCTTTATTTCTAGCCATGCTGGCAGCTGATTAGATGGCACCCATGCAGATTAAGGGTGGGTGGACCTCTCCCAGGCCACTGACTCAAATTCTAATCTCCCTTGGCAACACCCTCACAGACACACCTAGAAACAATAATTTGCATCCCTCAATCAAGTTGACACTTGATACTAACCATCACAGCATCTGTGTATGTAATTATATCCGTGTCTGTATTTGTGTGCATGTGTCTGACAATGGATAACAAAATGTCCAGCAGATACCAAATATTCTATGTTCTCACTTATAAGTGGGAGCTAAGCTACCAGGATGCAAAGCATAAGAATGATTTTGACTGTGGGGACTCGGGGGAAGCAAGGATGGGGGTGGTGAGGGATAAAAGATTACACATTGGGTATACAGTACACTGCTTTGGTGATGGGTGCACCGGAATCTCAGTAACTGCCACTGAAGAACTTATCCACATAACCAGAAACCACCTGTTTCCCAAAAGCTATTGAAAAATATATATTTTTAATATATAATATATATTCATATATAATATGTAAAAATATATTTCTATATTATATATATTACTATCTATAAATATAGTAATATATATTATATAAATATATATATAATATATTATATATATGTTTTTTTTTTTTAAGGTCCAGCAGGATATATGCTGGATTGTTTATAGAAGTCACCTCAGAAATGCCATTGGAGATGATGGCGACTTTCATTCTTTTAAATTTATGTAGGCCTATATTTTGGTATTTTCATAATGACTGATTACTTTTGAGTTAAAGATGTTGTTTGAAAAGGGAAAGTGATGTACATTTCTGCTACAGTGTTTGCCTCATGGTGGAGATTGAGAGAGGGACTGCTACTAAACATAAAAGGGACTTATTGGGAATTATTTTCCTCTTAAAAATAAAAGTGGAAGCAATCATGATAAAACATGAATAGTTGTCGTTCTCTATAATTACCCCACATATATTTCTGTTTTAAAAATTTCTCAAAAGGTAGATAGCAGTATCCAACAGTTACATCTATAAAACGGTTCTTGATTTAAAATAAATGGTACTGTTATTTTGAGGGACTTGCTTAGGCAAATGTCATATGATACAAATTTATACTGTTCTTTATAAGGGTATATTGTTTTTGAGATTTAATTATGTATTTGGCTAAGATGTATGCTCAACACTACCAGAATTTCTTTAAATTGATTGATTCTACAATATTGACTGTCCAGTTGAGGATGTTTTGACCTACTGATTTTTTGACTTTATGACAGTATTAAAGCCATATGCATTTAGTAGAAACCATACTTCAGATACCCATACAACCATTCTGTTTTTCAGTTTTAGTACAGCATTCAATAAATTACCTGAGATAGTCAACATTTTGTTATAAAATAGCATTTGCGTTAGATGATTTTGTCCAACTGTAGGCTAATATAAGTGTTCCTAGCATGTTTAATGTAGGCTAGTCTAAGCTGTGGTGTTGGGTAGATTAGGTGTATTAAGTGTGTTTTCATCTTATGATGGGTTTATTGGAACATAACCCCATGGTAAGTTGAGGAGCATCTATACAATGAATGCAGCTTCCCTATGAACTAAGCATATTTGCTCATTATAATAATCAATATTATACCTTTTTCTGTGTGCTGGGCATGGTGCTAGATACCTGATCTCTCTTAATCCTCACAACAAACCTATGTCATGGGTGTTTATTTCCTCATTTTACCAATGTGAAAACTAATACCAAGGGACCTGCTCAGCACCACATTCTTCGTAAGCAGCTAAGGCAGAGTTTAACTGAGATGTCTCTTAACCCAACACCTGGATATATGTGTCTGAAGATCTGTTTTTTTCCCTTATCACCTTTGCTGCATTCACCTTGTTCTAAAGTGAATCATAGCAGCTTATAAAAACATAAATATATAACAGGATTCTTAAAAAAACTAAGGAATTTAAGTGGAAAAAAGGTCAGAAAATGAGGTCAGGAATATAAGAAGTACTCTGCTTTATCTGCAGTTATATAATGCACATTGATTTTTAGTGTGTACATTGACTTTTCTAGGCCTGGTTGCAGTATGCCTGAAATTTGGGATGTAGAAGATCCTGCCAATGCTGGGAAAACTCCCTTATGTAACCTCTTGGTGAAGGATTCCAAACCTTACTTCATCACTGTATTCCAGAACAGTGTTTACAAAGTCCTAGAAGTTGTAAAAGAATGACTGCTACATGAACTGCTGCCCACGGACAACTACATCAGTAATGGTTTTAATGTTTCGCTAAGTCATGTGTTGTTCATATCCCAAAAACTTTTATAGGTAACTGTTTTCAAATAGAAAACGTTTTATTTGGTCGATTTGAATGTCATTCTAATTATAAAAATGACTTACACCTTTATCAATTGGTTACTATTTCAATGCACCCTTTAAAATTTGCTATGCAAATGAGTATATGTTTGTATTTGACTTTAATATTTGTGCTAAAGTGAGCAAAGCTACCTGTATAAAGAAAACACAGTGGGTCATGAGAAGCATGATATGAAAATACAGGACAATTCTGACTGTATATAGGGGCTGATTTTACAGTGTTAAGAACTATTAATGCCCTTGCTTCTTTGTTCTGCCTTTTGCTCTTGTCTTTTGGACATTTTAGTGATTATTGTAAGTTCTTTGGTCATGTCAGCCCCTATCATCAACTTGAGTTACAGTAGATGGGGCAGACATGAGTGTTTGCTGTGTAGAATTATCTATTTTACTTCCTTGTGCTCTTTTTCTCTGTTCTCTTGTTAATGAAGCTTCTCCTGCCCATTATTCCAAACTCTTGGACCTAGTGGTTAGGAAATTTCCTTAACTTCCAGCCATTTGGCATTATCATGTCTGTCTGTCTGTCTGTCTGTCTGTCTGTCTCTGTCTCTGTCTGTCTGTCTGTCTGTCTGTCTGTCTCTCTCTCTCTCCCCCCCTCCCCCTCTCCTCCTCCTCTCTGTTGCCACATTTTCTGTCAAATAAGTGCTGTTTACTTATTGAGTTGCTTGTCAAGTACTTATTCTTGGTTTTAAAAAAATTAATGGTAACTGTATTTTTCTCATTTTTTAGCATTATTCAAATCTTTATATTTTAATACCTTTAAACCACTTTAAAATTTTTTCATGTTTAATTATAGTTTTAAGAAAAACTATTTTGAACAACTCCAAATATAGTGCATCTAGAAACTAATGTATATTTGAGTAGACATAATTTATAGTGGAACAGTAGACTGTTGTACATGATAATTTTTCTTTGACTATTAAGGTACAATAAAACATGACTAATTTTGCTGTCAAAGTAAAGAATAATGATAAATGGAGTTTTTATATTTTGCTTTTAAGATTGCCTGCCTTTAATAAGACAAAGCCTTAAGCCTTATGTTATAATTTTGGTTCAAAAAACTATCTTTTCAGTATGAGAAATGAGTATATTTTGTCTTCCTTTTAAGTTTTCTCTTCCTGTTTATTTTTATTTTGAATTTCTACACCTTCTTTGAATTCCTTGTATGAATTTTTGTTTCTTAGAAGTTAATTTGTGTGAAATGAGATTCTTCAAAACGATGAAACCTCATAGTTCTGAGAAAAGGTTTTAGGGTCTTAAATTCTAAGCAAACCGTGACTATGGCTGACTACACATTTAATTATACAGCTTCTCTTTCTTAACCACAGGCAGATTAACCTCATTGTGGATTGTCCTTGAGACCTTAGTCCTCAGGATGGTTTCTGGTGACCACTGCTGGAAGCCACTATTCTCTTTCTACCTTCTTACCAGAGTCCAAGGGCAGGCCTAGTCTCCGGGAAGCAGCAGCTTGCTGATGTGAGTCCCCTACAAAGGCTGAGGAGTGTGACCTCAGAGAAGCACCGCCCCCCAGCCCTGCCCCGGTGCCCAGAGCTGCAACTCCCAGGGACACTCCTTCCCTGGAGGTGGCCCAGGAGATGGACTCTGGCAGTGTTCTTCAGATTTGTGGCCGCTTTTTGTCATTTGCTGGTTGGCTGTTTTTATTTCTTAGGCTTTTGCTAGTTTTAGAAAATAGAGAAGCAGCCAGTGATTTGTGGACTAAGAGCAACACTGAAGCGATGATGTATAGCACCAGCAGTCTAGGAACATGGGCAGTGGACACTTGAGACTGAGGATGGGAGTCGGCGTAGGCAGGGAAGGGGAGGTGCTCTCTGCTTATCTGCGATTGTTGCTTACCCGAGTGTGGCTGATTTTGTACATCCAGCAGTTACAATTTTTAAAAATTTTACTTTTACAGTTACTTTTCTGTTTTTCTCACCCCCTAGTAATTTACTTCCAAATAAGTTCACATGTAATAAGTAGAAATTCTGTACGGGAAAAAGCATTAAAAATACTATTTTAACTGTTTCATTTGCTGGGAACCATTAAAAGTAGCGTAAATTAGCTTTTTCCAGAAGGATCCTTTTGTAGCAGTGTTTATGAATGTAACCCCCAGTACAATGCGGCTATATATTAGGGGAGCCAGTCTGGAGCAGAGGCCTGAAGGTCCCTGCTATGCAGCTGTGGCCACGGTTTGCAGCACCAGCACTGTGGAGCATTTGCACCTTTGATGGCAATGCAGAGTGGTAGCAGGTTCCATAGGTGTGACAAAACAGTATTAAATCTCAGTGTTTTGCATATTTTTAGCATTTAAAAATATTTTTGCTTTAGTGTGAAGAAAGGATAAAAGAAAGTGATCAAAATAGCTATTGCTATGACATTTTAGAAAACAAAGTTGGGGCTGTATTTCTGTAAAAAGATAACCTCTAAAAATGCTTGGCAAAAAAAGTATAGTGTTAAGATAGGCCAGTGATATTAATGAGAAAGTGAAAGGATGTATCAGGAATAAAGTGTTATTGCATAGGAGTATTGTATTTTTATGAATTTTATGCCAGTTGTTTACATGTACTATATATGTTAAATAAAAAAAGATCATGAAAAATGAGCTAAATGTTTTTCTTGTTATTTTCATTTCCACCTTGATTATGAACATGTTTAGCCTTACTTTGTAGTCAGATAGCCATGAACTGGTTTGAGCCAGATTGCAGTTCAGAGAAGAGAGAGAAAGATTATAAAGTGGGGCAGACTTTTTGTTCTTATTGTTGGTAGTGGTAAGTACTGAGATTATCCAAACTTTTCCTATATTTATGGTAGAGTCACTTACATTCCTTTACCCTTTTCATCAAAGGACACAATAATTCATTCAAACTATGTATTGGGAATAAATACAGAATTGCCAAAAGCTTTTTTAAATACATTAAACTACCAAAAATTTGGTGTCAGTATTTTCTAAATTATGGCTCAGTGTTTTTACTTGATACAAACATCAACTTCTTGGTTCTGTCTCTATGTAGGAAAAACATTTCATCTCTGTTCATTCCTGTATAATTAATTTCTTAACACAATGACACCTTGATTTTGACATCTTTGGGGAACGAGGTGTTCCAATACAGTGGTTCTCAAAATTAACAGGCATCAGCATCACCTGGGAGGGCCCACAGATTGCTGGGCCCCACCACAGAGGTTACTGATTCAGTTGGCCTATGGTGGGGCCTCAGTACTTGGATTTCTTACCAGTTCTTAGGTGGTGGTGATGCTGGTAGTCCCGGGACCATGCTTGACAGCCTCTGCTCTAATCCATGGGAACAGACTGGCTGGATGACTGGCCTACAGGGGGCGCTCCATTCCTGACAGCACATCCCACCAGAGCTGGTTGATGGACACTCTACCAGGAGCTAAATTTTACCACCTACCTTCTTTGCCTGTTACGGGGGACTGCTTCAATGAAGCTTTCAAGGAGCAAAGAACAGTGTAGGTAATTTTTAATCAGAACACTGATATAGATTATTTAAATATTTTGAAGCTGCAAACTGCACCTTGTTTCTTTTCAGTTCAGAGATAGAAGAGGAGTGAAAATCCTTTGAAATAGAACTTCCTTCTGAGGGAAGGCAATAGATAAATTCAGTGATGTGTGGGGATTGTAAAAATTCATTTTCCACTTTATTACTTTTGTTTTGGCCACAGAAATCTGAACCTTCTTCCTCTATTAGAGGTCAGCCAACAATCAGCGCTAGGTCATGGATTGCTTGCTTCTCTCTTCTTTCTCTTTCTCCTGCCCCCCAACTAGAAGTTTCTAATTCGAATCAATAAAATTGTTAACGCAGAAAAAAAGGAGCCACTTTTAAACTTCATTGCTTTTTCTGAATTGGTCTTTCTTTCACAGCATTCTTTCAGGACAAATACATTTTACATTAGAAGTTGAAAAGGATATTAAGGTACAAAAAGGTCTTGAAAACTTTTCCTTTTACATTTCCTCCCATGAGAGAGATTTTAAAATTCTGAATGAATATATAAGAGTTGAAGACTCAATTGTAGTGTAATTAAAAGATAGTTTTCTTTTTTTGCAGAGAGCTTAGGATAACACTGATACTGGCTCCACTTTCAAAGCAATGTTTTCTATAGTTTTTTATACTCAATTATCTAACCAAAACTCTTAAGTATGCACAGCGTATTCTGTTTCATAGGCATGTTCTTTTTAATGTAGCATAAGATCATTTCTTTTTTTTTTTTTTTTAAGTACCCGATAGGCTTTTATCCTGTAAGCAAATTTAATATCTTTGTGGGGAGAGTTGAATTTAGCAAACTTCAGCTCCTTTGGTTAGGCTGATTACTCACACCTTTAATCCTTATGCATTTCCAAAAAAATAGAAATGAAAGTACAAAATGACAATTGCTAAGTAGTTTGGCATCTTGTCATGAAAACTGGGAAAGAAAGATGCCTGCAAGCCACCTCTGGCTCTGCCACCTGCTGCTAATACCCTGCTCTTTCGCCAGGCTCCTCGAGTCTGTACTCTTGGTATCTGCTTAGTGATCAGACTTCAGATTCAGAGGCCTCCCTCTTGCTCTGGAAAATTCTCTTCCCAGAAGAGTACGATTCAGTAATCCCTTGAGCCCTTTACATGAGTAACGAATTTTGACTTTTTTTTTTAGCAAACACCTCTGTGGCAGTAATTCTGAAACTTCTCTGCACATTAGAATTACTTGGAGAGCTTCAAAAAAATCCTGAAGCCTTTTTCCCAGCCCTGGAGATTTGTGGACTGAGATTTGGAATTTTTTTTTAATTCCTAGTGATTCCAGTGCTCTAGGGCTAACATTTTAGGACTTGCTCTCCCTACTTCACTTCTGAATAGCAAGATTTCCATGTAGGAATGGTAAGCAAGTGTCAGCAAGTGTCTGTCAGGTACACTTTATTCATGATTATTAATTTCTACATTATTTCTAATATGGCACCTAATGTTGAGTAGACTTCGGAAGGAGCTCTGTTTTCAGTTATGGATGCCTGCCAATGGCAGGAAAAAGGGGGAGGGTGGCAGTGTAGTGCCACGTATTTGTAAACCCTGTCAAGAAATGAGAATATAGCAGCAAAAAGAAAACCGAAATTATCTTGAAAATCATTTGAAAAGTTACTGTGTGAGGAATCGTGTCTTTTCTGCAGGTGCTTTTTGCCCCTCCTGGAATATACTTTTCTTAATCAGTATGTATTTCAGATGCAACTCAAATGTCACCTCCTCTGTGAAGCCTTTCCTGACTGCCTGCCATTTGGTTGAACGAATTGCCTCCCACCACCCATGCACGCGCCCATAACCACATTGCACACATTTATCAACGTGACTTTTCCCCCACTATATTATGTTCCTTGTAAAAAGAACATGTCTTACTCCATTCTGAATCCACAGAGCCTCCTCGCACAGTTACTGGCAAGTAGTACTGCTTAATGATTTTTTTTTAAATAAACCATATTTTATTTAAAATAAACCATATTTTAAATAAACGATACTTTATTCAACAATGCAATAAATTCTAATGGCACTAAAAGTTATTTTTAGGACTAAAAGTTTATGTTTTCCAGCCGTGGAGAAGAAATAAGGAAATGCATGACATCATCAGATGAGGTAAATATCACAGAAGAAAATATCCTTGTTATACAGCCAAACAATAATTAAACTCATGTCTTTAGTAAGTACTTTCAGACATGGCTAGTGACCGTATGAATTTATTGGAAGGTAATATGACAAAGATACCTCTCTCTAGGAGCAGGCCTCATTGACCTGATTTCAGTGTATAGCTCAGGATACTATGGTTGCTGGCCATAGACACGTTTGCTGCTGATCAGGGAGCAAGGAACTCTGGAAATTTGATTTAAAGTCTGGGAAGAGGGATTTCTCAAAGGATAAGAAGGGACTGGGTGTGTTGTTATTAGGTGTAGATATGAGGCAAAGCAGATGACAACAGTTGCACAATTAATAGTGTCATAATAGAGACAAGTACACTGGAATGCATAATCCATTTTTAACAAACTTAGTGAAATAGGGCATGTTTCTTGAACATCAGTTTCTTGTCTTTTTTTTCTTTTTTTTTGAGACGGAGTTTTTTGCTCTTGTTACCCAGGCTGGAGTGCAATGGCGCAATCTCGGCTCACCGCAACCTCCGCCTCCTGGGTTCAGGCAATTCTCCTGCCTCAGCCTCCTGAGTAGCTGGGATTACAGGCACGTGCCACCATGCCCAGCTAATTTTTTGTATTTTTAGTAGAGACGGGGTTTCACCATGTTGACCAGGATGGTCTCGATCTCGTGATCCACCCCCCTCGGCCTCCCAAAGTGCTGGGATTACAAGCTTGAGCCACCGCGCCCGGCCAGTTTCTTGTCTTTTAAAAGAATATGGCTTTTGTGATAAATATTAGAAACAAGAGAAATAGACAAATGAACAACCACAGGAAATTTTAATATACATCTCCTTAGAAATTGAGATAAGCAAAAAGATCAGTAAGGAAATGCATGATTTGAGTAATAAAAGCAATTTGATTTAATAGTCATATGTAGAACTGCACCCAACAGATGAAGAATATATATTCTATTCATGTATGTGGGACATTTCCAAGAATTGACAGTAGAACATGAGCTCCTGGCCAGGTACGGTGGCCCATGCCTGTAACCTAGCATTTTGGGAGGCACAGGCAGGCAGATCTCTTGAGCCCAGCAGTTTGAGACCAACCTGAGCAACATGGCAAAACCATGTCTCTACAAAAAATTAGCCAGGACGGTATGTGCCTGTGTTCCCAGCTACTTGGAAGGTTGAGGTGAGAGGATCTTGAGCCCAGGAGGTTAAGGTTGTAGTGAACTGTGATTGTACCACTGCACTCCAACCAGCCTGGGTGACAGAGTGAGACAAGCAAAAAAAAAAAAAAAAAAAAAAAAAAAAAAAAAAAAAAAAAAAAAAAAACTTGAACATTAGCTCCAAAAAAGCATGACTTTTTGGCCTATTTTGTTTACAAATGTAACCTAATTATCTAGAACAGTACCTGGCACATGTGGGTGCCCAATATTTGTTAAAGGAAATAATTGATCATACCTGAAGTCAAATGGCAATTCTTGTGGGTGGGTGGGAACAACCTAGGTATTGGAAATCCTGTAGTTGGAAATCAGCACAAGTGAAAAACAGTTTTAAATAATAATTCATAATTTATGAAAATTTGAGAAAAAATACAATGATAATATACTACAAATTGCATGTGGAGGATGACTCAAGCAGTTCTAGATATACTCTTTTTATTTTGGCCTTTAGTCTAAAATGCATTCATTAATCCAATAATATCTATATCAGGAATATAAACACAATAGTTCTCCCACCCCCAGTTGAAGGGAATAATGAGCAGAAATTGATGAAACAGAAAACAAATAGATCAGCAAAGTCAAAGTTGGTGTATTAGTCCATTTTCACTCTGCTGATACAGACATAAGACTGCGCAATTTACAAAAGCAAGGTTTAATGGACTTACAGTTCCATATGGCTGGGAACGCTTCACAATCATTACTGAAGGCAAGAAGGAGCAAGTCGCATCTTACAGGGATGTCGGCAGACAGAGTGTGCAGGGAAATTCTCTCTTCT